GAGGCTGAGGCAGGAGAATCGCTTGAACCCGGGCAGCGGGGATTGCGGTGAGCTGAGCTCACGCCGTTACACTCCAGCCTGGGGGACACAGCAAGACTCTGTCTCAAAAAAAAGAAGGAGAAAGAGGAGGAGGAGGAGGAAGAAGAGGAAGAAGAAGAGAAAAATAGAGAAGATGAAAGCCACATACACGATATGGACAGAGTCCAGGACCTGGAGTGTGTTGCAGAGGAAGGAGGGGCTGGTGGGCTGCAGGTCCCTCCCCCGCCATGAGCTGGGTCTGGCCCACCGTCTCTTCAGGCTGTTTTGCAGCTGGCTGCCTCCTGGAACGGCCGTCCTCCAATCCAGTGTCCGTGCCGTCAGCTCTTCCCCAAAGGCCCCAGGCCTCCAAACCCTGCTGTCTACAGGAGACAGTCCAAACCCCTCAGCCTGGCATGCAAGACCCTTCAGAGTGTGGCCGGCACTTCCAGCCAAAACTCCTATAACATGCTTTCATTCACCCTATGACCAAGTTACACCAATTTGTCACACCCTGGACATGACAATCATTTTAATGTAAATACGTTTACCTAGCCTGACCCCTCTGCCTAGATGCTAAAAAGAGTGGGCTCTGGGGTTTGAATCCTAGCACTGTGACCTCAGGTAACTTACTTAACTTCGTGTATCAGTTTTTCCATCTGTGAAATGAGAATAACACTACCCACCTTCTACGATTATTACCAAGATTAAGTGAGGCTGGGTGAAGTGGCTCATGCCTATAATCCCAACACTTTGGGAGGCTGAGGTGGGTGGATCACTTGAGGCCAGAAGTTCAAGACCAGCCGAGGCAACATGGCAAAAGCCCGTCTCTACTAAAAATACAAAAAATTAGCTGAGTGTGGTGCTGCGCGCCTGTAATCCCAGCTACTGGCAGGTTGAGGCATGAGAATCATTTGAGCCCAGGAGGCGGAGGTTGTAGTGAGCCGAGATCATGCCACTTGCATTCCAGCCTGACAGAGTAAGACTCTGTCTCAAAAAAACGAAAAGATGAAATCAAATAAGTAAAGTTTAGATTAGATCCCAGTACACAGCAGTTTCTCAAAAAAATGTGAATTGTCATTAGTAACCGTGGAAGGGAATTCTGGGAGGCTAAGTTCAAAGTCACCTGTGTAGAGAATGAATTTCTCCTTTCTCTGGGCATATGAGTGCTGTCACCGTGTGTCTTTGTTTTTTCCTGGGGTCTGTTTATATAACCAACTGTCGGTATTTTTCCATTGCCTTGTGATGGAAATTCAACAGGGGGCAGTCCCTGACGGAACACCCAGCTCCTATGGGACACTCAGAAAATGCGGCTGCCTGGGTCTCTGCTGGGTGCATGGGAGACCTCCCAGGTGTAGGCTGCTGAGGCTGCTCTGCTGTGGTGACGGCCCCCAAATCTCAGTGGTTTCAAACATCAAAGGTTTGTTTGTTTATTTATTTATTTATTTATTTTGAGATGGAGTCTCGCTCTGTGGCCAGGCTGGAGTGCAGTGGTGCGATCTCTGCTCACAGCAACCTCTGCCTTCTGGGAGAGGAGAACTTCAAGCAGTTCTCCTGTCGAAGCCTCCCAAGTAGCCTCGCCACCATGCCTGATTTTTTGTATTTTCAGTAGAGACAGGGTTTCACCATGTTAGCCAGGATATTCGAGATCTCCCAACCTTGTGACTGCCCACCTTGGCCTCCTAAAGTGCTGAGATTACAGGCGTGAGCCACCGCACCCAGACTTATTTTTGTTTATTATTTATTTAAGAAAGAGTCCTGCTCTGTGCCCCAGCTTGGAGTGCAGTGGCGCAATCTCAATTCCCAGCAACCTCCTCCTTCCAGCCTCAAGTGACTCTCCGGCCTCAGCCACCTGAGTAGCTGGGACTACAGGCGCCCGCCACCACGCCTGGCTAATTTTTTTGTATTTTTGGTAGAGACGGATTTCACCATGTTGTCCAGGCTGGTCTCGGAACTCCTGACCTCAAGTGATCCGCCCTCCTCGGCCTCTGGAAGCACTAAGAGTCCAGGCGGGAGCCACCTCGCCCGACCCAAAGGTTTACTTCTCTAGTCCTACTGCATGTCCCTCGCTGGTGGGTGAGGGCTCTGCTGCCCGCCATCCTCACTCAGGGTCACAGGCTGACAGGCCTGCCGCTCTCTGGGGCACTGCCAGTCACTTGTGGCAAAGGAGCGTGGCAAATAGCTCGCCGGCTCCTAAAGACTTCTGCCCAGGAGTGACCCGCGTGCCCTGTCAGGCGCCACTGCCGAAGCGGGTCAGGAGGGAAAGTGCGGCCCTGCCGCGGGCTCAGAACATCGGGATACCGGCGGCCAGCATGGGGGCCAGCTCACCACTTCGGAAGCAAGCTGGCCTCAAGCCACCTGCTGGGACCTCCTGGGAAGGAGGGCGGAAGCCACAAGCGGTTGTCATTTTAGGCTGCTGCACTCATCCCCCACCCAGACGAGGTTCCAGGCCGCAGGCAGTGGAAGCAGCACCTGAAGCCTGTCCACTGACAAGCACAGACCCTCCAAAGCTATCCTCAGAAGCAGAGTGGACGCATAGTCTGGAAAGGGGACAGAGTTCTGGGGCCACCCCAGACACAGGGCTGGGCTGCCTGAGCATGCCGGCTGTCCATCAGTTCCTAACCTTACATTCGCAGGCTCCATCACAGCATGCTGGGCAGCCGAGGCAGGCAGCTGCCCTGAGGTCAGAGGGCCTGGCTTCTCCAAGCAGACAGGACTCTGGCATCCTCAGCCTTCTCTCTCATGCGCCTTCCTCGGGGGCTCCAATGACGACGTCTTAAACTTATTCTGGCTGAGAGAAAAATTACAGTAGCAGGGCAGTCGTGGTGGCTCACACCTGTAATCCCAAACTTTGACAGGCTAAGGCGGGTGGATCACCTGAGGTCAGGAGTTCGAGACCAGCCTGGCCAACACGGTGAAACCCCGTCTCTATCAAAAATACATTAGCCGGCTGTGATGGCACATGCCTGGAGAGAAAAAAAAAAAAAAAAAGGCAGAGGGACCTTCCCTTTTGGCTTTGGAATCCCCCTCTCCTCTGTCTGTACAGGGGAGCTAAAAGAAAAAAAAAATTCAGTAGCCCTCTGTTACCACAGGGGATGTGTCCAAGATCTTCCACAGATGCCTGAAACCAATAATATGGGATCCTGTATATGCCATGTTTCTTACATAGGTATCGCTAATTTAATTTATAAATTAGGCACAGTAAGAGATTTAACAACAACAATAAAGTAAAACAATTTGTTTCTGAGACAGAATCTCGCTCTGTCACCCAGGTTGGAGTGCAATGGTGTGATTTCAGCTCACTGCAACCTCCGCCTCCCAGGTTCAGGCAGTTCTTGAGCCTCAGCCTCCCAAGTAGCTGGGGTTACAGGTGCCTGCCACCAGGCCAGGCTAACTTCTGTATTTCTAGTAGAAACGGGGTTTCACCACATTGGCCAGGTTGGTTTCAAACTCCTGACCTCAGGTGACCCACCTGCCTCAGCCTCCCAAAGTGCTGGGATTACAGGCGTGAGTCACCACGCCCAGCCGAAGTAGAACAGTTTTAACAAGAGAGTGTAATAAAAGTTGTCACACACTGTGAACATAACCTTTGCAGTTTGAGGTGTGACAGCAAAACTGGCATGAGACCAAGCGTGGTGGCTCCTGACTGTAATCCTAGTACTTTGGAAGGTGGGTGGATCACCTGAGGTCAGGAGTTCGAGACCAGCCTGGCCAACATGGTCAAATCCCTGTCTCTACTAAAAGTACAAAAAAATTAGCCAGGTATGGTGGCAGATGCCTGTAGTCTCAGCTACTCGGAAGGCTGAGGCAGAATTCCTTGAGCCTAGGAGGCAGAGGTTGCAGTGAGAAGAGATTATGCCACTGCACTCCAGCCTGGGCAACAGAGTGAGACAGTGTCTCAAAAAACAAACAACAACAACAACAACAACAACAAAACGAGCATGGATTTCTTTTTCCTTACAATTTCACGGATAGAAGATTCAGCACGACTTTTTTCTTCCCACCTTTTCACTTAGAGGAAGCTCCTTACAGCTTCTCCTTGGCATATCTGAAGAGCCGACATCACTATTCTGGTGCTTTGGGACCCTTATGAAGTAAAAGAAGAGTGACCTGAACACAGGCACTTTGATGCCAGGATGGGCGATCTGCTGAGCAGGTGACTAACCGGGAAGGCACGTCCGCGGTGTGGATGTGCTGGACACAGGGATGGTTCGCGTCGTGGGCAGCACAGCAGACATTCCATCGCACTGCTCAGAACGACGCATGGTGGAAAACATGGGAACTGTTTCGGGAACTTTCCACTTAATATTGTCAGACTGTGGTTGGCCATGGATAACAGAACCCGTGGAAAGTGACACTGAGCATCTGGGGGGCCTACTGTGTACCACTTTCTGGGGTGATGGGCAGGCATCTGTCTGGTGGGACACCAGGGCAACCTTTTCTCAGGACAACCTACAAATGCTCCCCCAGAGCATCTCAACCTCCTGAACCAAGCTCATGGTTGCAGCACAGTTTCCCCAAAGCAGAGAGGCATGTGTTTTATTTAAGGCACAAGACTCTGGAAGAATGGGCTTTTTAATATTTTATTTTGTTTTATTTATTTATTTTTGAGATGGGGTCTCACTCTGTCACCCAGGCTAGAGTGCAGTGGTGCCATCTCAGCTCACAGCCTCCGCCTCCCGGGTTCAAGCGATTCTCCTGCCTCACCCTCCCAAGTAGCTGGGACTACAGGTGCCACCACCACACCCAGCTTTGTTGTTTTGAGACAGTGTCTTGCTCTGTCACCCAGGCTGGAATGCAGTGGTGCCATCTTGGCTCACTGTAACCTCTGCCTCCGGGGTTCAAGCGATTCTCCTCCTCAGCCTCCAGAGTGGCTGGGATTGCAGGTGCCCACCACCACACCCAGCTAATTTTTGTATTTTTAGTAAAGACGGGGTTTCGCCATGTTGGGGGTCTAGAACTCCTGACCTTGTGATCTGCCCGCCTCAGCCTCCCAAAGTGCTAGGATTACAGGCAGGTGCCACCTCGCCCAGCCAAGAATGGACTTTAATATCTGACATTCAGTCAGCATGATCAGGCATTTGCCCTCACCTCAGAGCTTCCAGATGATCACATAATTTATAAAATGACACTTATAAAAAGACAGTATGTTTCATACCTGTGATGGATAGTGAGAGAGAAAGAGAGAGGGAATATGACTGTTTCCCAAATTCATGGTTGCCTAGGTGCCTCTGGGCCAGGCCTGCCTGAGCCTGGGCTCCTTTGGTGGTCTGGGAGTAGACACAGTGAAGGTGGCCTCCTGGAAGCTACCCCACAGCCATCCCTGCCAATCACAGGAAGGCTAACGCTGCTCTGGGACCCTAGAGGAATGCTGACTCATGTGGATGTTTCTGCTGAGCCAGGAACACACAGTGGGCCTGCAAAGCCCACACCAAGGGGAGAGCCTAGGCCTATGGGATACAGGGTTCTCTTTGGATAAAGCACCTGCCCCATCTGGTGGGAGTCTGCCTGGCTGCATCCCTTCCTGTGAAGGCTTCTGGAGCAGGCAGGAGCAAAAGCACACTGCACGGCCACGCTCCTGGAAAGTGGTCCTGCTGGTGCCTCATCAGGCTCCCGGAGCGCTGTGGGCCTGACAGCTTCGGTGACCCCTGCTGCTTGTGCCATCCGCCTCGCCTTCTCTGCAACCCACCTTCCTGACAGTTGTGCTGTGAAAACCTGGGCAGCGCAGGGGCGGCAGGCTTTCCAGCCCAGCACACAGCCCCGCACTGTCCTCTGAGCCAGCTGCTGCATCACGCCTGGCTCACTCCCTGCCCTTGCTAAGCATCTGCGGCCAGGGGAGGATGAGACTAGGAAAGGGGCCTCCGGTCACGTGGCATTCCAGGAGAGAAGCACTTTTCCAGAAGTGCATGTGACTTCAGGCCTCCAAAAACAATCATCCAAAGCGGGGCATGGGGCAGGTCTATTCTCACTTGGGGCCACAGCCACGAGACTTTCTGGTGTCTGAAGTACACTTTATGTGTTCTGTGTCTGCAGGTGAGCCACAGATGAGCCTGCTGCTGAGGAGGCTGGCTGCTGTGCTCTCACGCTCTCTCTCCCACACTGACATCTGTAAGTAGCTCCCAGTGGGTCTCTTTCGGAAGGCACTAATTTGGGATCTGGCTGATGGCTGCTGGCTGCATTATTAGAGTACATCCTGAAGGTATGTTCTTGGTCAAGATGGGACAACAAGCTGTCCACTGACTTCTTCAGGGAAAGGATGACCCCCAAAGGGCGTCAGGAATGTGAATCAGGTAAAATTCGCAGCAGTCCTTTGGTAAAAGCATTTGCTGTCTAAGATTCCTTCTGGCTGTTTCCCCGGAGCATGACCAGAGCTGCCCCGACAGCTGCATCCACATCCTGCCCAAAGGACACGGGCAAAGGGAAAGCCCTCTGCACCTCCTGCTTCAGCACTTCGTTCCTGGACAGCGCACTCCCACTACCCACCACACGCTGCACGCCCCACTCCTGCAGCTGCCGCACGGGAAGCATGGACAGCAGATTATGAACGATGCCTCGGCACAGGGCCCGGGCCACGTGCCCCAGGGAGAGGTCAGGGGAGATTCTGGTCACTGAGGCCAGCTGGTCCGGCAAGTGCCTCTCCCCCAGCACTGTTGGGGTGATGGTCAGGTGGGTGTCTGTCTGCTGCACGGCTGCCTGGATGATGCGGGAATACACTGTGGATTCTTCCACCTCCAGGCCTGCCGGAGACAGGGAAGATCTGTGTGAGCTCACGCAACCCCCATGATACAGGCAGAGATGGTACAGAATTCCCACAGGGCGGGAAGGGACTCCCTTGCTGCTGCTCCCCACACTGTAGCTGATGGTTCTGGGCTCAGGGACTCCTACAGCCAGGCTAGCTGTACTGTGCCCTGGATCCCCACTAGCCATCTCAGTGCAGACCCCAGCCAGATGTCAGGATGAGGTCTCCTAAGTGCTGCTGTGAGCCCTAACCGTAACCCAGGCTTCCTAACCAAGGGGACCAAATGCATGTACTGATTAATAACTATCATCATGGATGCTATAGCGTCATTACCAGTATCAGAAATCCGAGGATCCCAGTTCGGTCACTGTCTGGGCCACCCACGTAATATGCAAGGGCACCTGAACCGCAGGGAGAAGGGATGTGCTGACCATCGTACAACTCGCTTTTCAGTGTCAAGCCAGGATCCCGGTCGGACTTTTCTCCCTGACACCATGTTAGCGCTGTGTTCACTTTTGTTGCTTTTTTTCTGAGACTTGCTCTGTCGCCCAGTCTGGAGTGCAGCGGCACATATCCTATCAGCTCACTACAACCTCTGTTGCCCGGATTCGAGTAATTTTCCTGCTTCAGTCTCCCAAGTAGCTGGGACTACACGCATGTACCACCACACCTGGCTGATTTTTGTCTTTTTAGTAGAGACAAGGTTTTACCACATTGGCCAGGCTGGTCTCAAACTCTTGACCTCAAGTGATCTACCCACTTCAGCCTCCCAAAGTACTGTGGTTACAGGAGTGAACCACCAACTCTGGCCAGCTCTGCATTTTTAAAACAAACAAATAAAATTTTTAAAAAAGGCTGGGCGTGGTGGCTCACACCTATAATCTCAGCACTTTGGGAGGCCGAAGCAGGCCGATCATTTGAGGTTAGGCATTCCAGACCCGCCTGGACAACATGATGAAACCCCGTCTCTACTAAAAATGCAAAAATCACAGGTGCAATCCCAGCTACTTGGGAGGCTGAGGCAGGAGAATCACTTGAACCCATGGAGCGGAGGTTGCAGTGAGCTGTGATCACGCCACTGCACTCCAGCCTGGACCACAGAGCAAGACTGTCTCAAAAAATTAAAAAATAAAAATAAAGCATTCCTGAGGAGATCCCAGCCAAGGAGGCAGAATGCCCCCGGCAATCTTGACATCCCTGCTCAGCCCGAAGGCACTGACGTCGCTCAGGAACACGTCTCTGCACAAGCAGTCCCAGCTCTCCACGTGCTGCCTGGACCCTGCCTTCCATTCCGCGTGTCCCACCATCATCTGACTTTGATGTAACCATCGCATCTGATGGTCTTGACTTACTAGACCTGAATAGAAACTTCATTTCTAGCTTAGGTGCTGCCAAAGGGAACGTCTCCTGGAAGAGGGAGATTACATATCTCACCTGGTCCCCAGCTTACAGTGGTTCAACTTAATTTTTCGATGTTACAATGGAGCGAAAGCCACATGCATTCAGCAGAAATTGGACTTCCAGTAGCCATAAACCACCGTGTTTCTCACTTTAAGTACAGCGGCCACATGTTACACGAGATACGTGACATTTTATTATAAAATCGGCTCTGTACTAGGTGATTTTGCCCAGTTGTAGGTTCATGTATGTGTTCTGAGCACATTTAGGGTGGGCTAGACTGAGCGATGGTGCTCGTAGGGCAGGTGTATTCAATGCATTTTCAACTTAGGATAGTTTCCCTTGCAATTCACTTGCAATGGATGTAGCAGGATACAAGTCCCTTGAGCTGTTGAGTGTTCTAACCCACAGGCTTAGAACCACAGGACACGGAGCTAGGAAAACACAGGAGGGAAGGGACTTGCCAGGGACAAATGATGACTCCGGGACACAGCAGGGAACCAAGGCCACGCTCCTGGGTTCCACCCCGCACCGTGCTTCTTTAAAAAATGGCAGCTGGGCGCAGTGGCTCACGCCTGTAATCCCAGCACTTTGGGAGGCCAAGGCAGGTGGATCACTTGAGGTCAGGAGTTCAAGAGCAGCCTGGCCAACATGGCGAAACTCTGTCTCTACTAAAAATACAAAAATTAGCTGGGTATTTTGGTGCACGCCTGTAGTCCCTGCTACTTGGGAGGCTGAGGCAGGAGAATTGCTTGAACCCAGGAGACAGAGGTTGCAGTGAGCTGAGATCGCGCCACTGCACTCCAGCCTGGGTGACAAGAGTGAGACTCCGTCTCAAAAAGAAAAAAAAAAGGAAAGAAAGAAAGGTCTACATCACACTTACTATGGGCCAGAATTATCGGGATATAAGTGCACTGTAGGTGAAATAAGCACCATTGTAAGTCGAGAAGCATCTGTACATGCAGAGCAGAGAAAACCTCATAAATTCTACCCCAGGAATAAGAGAAGGGAGCAGGAAGGGAAAAGTGGGAGCAGAGAAGGTGGGGGAAAGCCGGGGAGACTGTGATAAGGGTTTACAGTCAAGGCTGGGGGAAGAGTGCCTGACCCAAAGAAGAGAGGAGGTGACGGCAGCTCAGAGGACGAGAGGAATCTGGCTGCAAGCTCAGATCCCCAAGGATGGGAGAAACCTGCCAGGGCCTGAGACCTGAATGTGGAGGCTGAAACCGCACATGAAGGTCCGAGACCTGCCGTGTAGAAAGGACAGGCAGAGAGCACAGCGCTGTGTGGGCCACACCTTACCTAGATCTGCCGTCCACTGAACCAGCATGTGGACAAACATGGCCAGCACGTTGCCCCCATTGAGGGATGCGGCCACCCCCAGGTAGGTCCCGTCGAAGTATGGGAAGTAGGCCACCGGGGCCGCAGGGTCCGGAGTCTGTGCGGGCTGGAATCCCGAAGGCATGGAGGCTGCCAGCTGAACCGAGGTGCTGATGTTGAGAACTGGGGTCCGGAGAGAGGAGAGCTTAGGCCTGCCTGGCTGACTCAGAGGTCACAAGTCACAGTTTGGCAGTGAGAGAAGCTGGGGGGTTTAAAAACATGTCCAGGTGGCCGGGCATGGTGGCTCACGCCTGTAATCCCAGCACTTTGGGAGGCCGAGGTGGGCAGATCACCTGAGGTCAGGAGTTCAAGACCAGCCCAACCAACGTGGAGAAAACCCATCTCTACTAAAAATACAAAATTAGGCTTGGTGGTCATGGTGGCTCATGCCTGCAATCCCAGCTACTTAAAAAATATGTCCATGATGAGTTGAAGGGCAAGGTGTTGAAGAGATGTTGATCAAAGGAGATATATATATAGATATAGATATAGATATAGATAGATAGATATACGTGTGTGTGTGTGTGTGTGTGTGTGTGTGTGTGTATTTTTTTTTTTTAAGACAGGGTCTCACTCTGTCACCCAGGCTGGAGTGCAATAGCGTGATCTCGGCTCCCTGCAACCTCCTCCTCCTGGGTTCAAATGATTCTCCTGCCTCAGCCTCCTTAGCAGCTGGAATTACAGGCGCCTGCCACCACGTCTGGCTAATTTTGTATTTTCAGTACAGATGGTGTTTCACCATGTTGGCCAGGCTGGTAGTGAACTCCCAACCTCAGGCAATCCACCTGCCTCGGCCTCCCAAAGTGCTGGGATTACAGACATGAGCCACTGCACCCGACCCCAAAGTATACTCTTAACACCTTGCCTGTCAGCAGCGGGGGTCAGCCTGTGGGTTAGAAATCCAGACCCAGCACTGAGCCCGCGGACTGTTTCGGCAGTGCCTTCTCCATTTCTCCTGAGACCTAGCTAAAAAGCCGGCTCTTCTCAATCTGTTTAGGGGCCAGAGTTCAGCATCCAATTTTCACACCTACTCAGGGGTCAAACGCAAGGACAGCAAAAACAAGCCCCAGAAGGCCAATAACCTTTGCTCTTTGCCACGTCAAGCTTACCATGACTATAAACCAGAAGCAGCATGCCCTCTACTGTCTCCTCAGGTGGAAGGGACAACACTTCGATTTCTTTCACTTTCACTTACATTTTGTAGCATTTATCTGTGCTGTTTGAAAAAATTCCAGTGGCCAGGCGCCATGGCTCACACCTGTCATCCCAGCACTTTGGGAGTCCGAGGCGGGTGGATCACCTGAGGTCAGGAGTTTGAGACCAGCCTGACCAATATGGTGAAATCCCACCTCTACAAAAAATACAAAAATTAGCCACAGCTCAGGACATAAAGCCAAATGCCTGATTGAAATGTTAGAAGGAGAACTCTTTGTAGATGGCCTCTCTCCCACTTAATTCCGATCACCCTGCTGCTTTAAGGCCAAATATACCTGGTTCCTCTCCTTTGCTGTCAAACCATGAGCACCTGATGACATGGCCACAGCCCTGGGCTCCGGACTCACAGCACTGCCACGCACCACATTGCCCCACATTCTCACGCTTTTAAATGGTTGAAAAGAAATCCAGAGAACGTTTCATAATACATGAAAATTATATGGCATTGGCTGGGCACAGTGGCTCACACCTGTAATCCCAGCACTTTGGGAGGCCAAGGTGAGTGGATCAGAAGGTCAAGAGATCGAGACCATCCTGGCCAACATGGTGAAATCCCATCTCTACTAAAAATACAAAAATTAGCTGGGTGTGGTGGCGCGTGCCTACAGTCCCAGCTACTCAGGAGGCTGAGGCAGGAGAATCACTTGAGCTGGGGAAGCAGAGGTTACAGTGAGCTGAGATCATGCCACTCCAGCCTGGTGACACAGTGAGACTCCATTTCAAAAAAAAAAAAAAATTACATGGCATTCACATGTCAGTGTCTATGAACAGTGCTTTATGGGAAAAGAGCTACCCCTGTTCATTTACATATCGTCTATGGCTATTTTTGAACTCCAACTGCGGAGCTGAGCATTTACAACAGAGTCTGCATGATCTACAAGGCATGGCGGCTCATGCCTGTAATCCCAGCATTTTGGGAGGCCGAGATGGGTGGATCACAAGGTCAGGAGTTCAAGACCAGCCTGGTCAATATGGTGAAATCCTGTCTCTACTAAAAATATAAAAATTAGCCAGGTGTGGTGGCGTGCACCTGTAATCCCAGCTACTTGGGAGGCTGAGGCAGGAGAATCACTTGAACCCGGGAGTTGGAGGCTGCAGTGGGCCGAGATCGTGCCACTGCACTCCAGCCTGGGCGACAGAGACTCCATCTCAAAAAGAAAAAAAGGAAATATTTTCTGCCCTTTAAAGGGCCAACCCTGGCCGGGTGCGGTGGCTCACGCCTGTAATCCTAGCACTTTGGGAGGCCGAGGTGGGCGGATCACCTGAAGTCAGGAGTTCAAGACCAGCCTGGCCATCATGGAGAAACTCCATCTTAAAAAAAAAAAAAAAAAGAGCCAACCCCTGCCCTAAACACTGCTGCCTCTTCCTCACCACGATTCCCTTACCACGAATACAGAAAATATTCTGCACTTTTAATCAAATCCGACAAACACACAGTAACCAAAACCTCATCGGCTCATCTGTTTTCTCAGGCAGAGTCACACAGGGAGCAGACAGCTAGAAAGAGCCATTTCCCTCCCCCGGCCCCGGGTGGGGGCGGTCAGCACAGATGGCCGGCGCTCAGGGACAGAGCTTGCCCTGCTGGCCTGTGAGCTCCCTCAACAGAGGACCTGACCTGCAGGGAGGAGGGTGCTTTTCATCTTTATAGAATTGCATCCTCTAGCAGGATGCCAAGGCTGCTAAGCTTGAGTGCCCTGCAGACTCACACAGAGCTGGTGCTTAGGAGGCGGCCCGGGTAAGTCTGAGGACAGAACAAAAGAGCAACTTACCTGCATCTGTCCTCTGGGCCATGCAGGAATAGACAGAGGCCTGTAAATCACCCAAGGCCACGCCCACCTGCGTCCCCTTTGGGATTTCAAACCACACGCGGGAAGTTCTGCCTGCCACACTGCCAGGCTCGGCGACGTCTGGGAGCAGGTGGACAGGAAAACCCGAGCTCCTCAGTCTGTGAAACAAAAGTGGACACACATATCCACCCACACTTAGGTTTCTGGAGTTTAGGGCTTCCTTCCTCTTCCTTCCCTCCCTCTATCCCCTCCTTTCCTCCCTTTCTTCTTTCCCTCCCTCTCTTCTCTCCCTCCCTCCCTTCCCTTCCCTTATTTTCCCTCCTTTCCTTCCTTCCCTTCCTTTCTTCCCTTGCTTCCTTCCTTCCCTCCCTCCCTTCCTTCCCTCCCTCCCTTCCTTCCCTTCTTTCCTTTCCTTCCTCCCTCCCTTCCTTCCTCCCTTCCCTTCCTTCCTCCCTTTCCTCCCTCTTCCTTCTCTCCTACCTTCCTTCCCTTGCTTCCCTTCCTTCCTTTATTTTCTTTCCTTCTTTCTTTCTTTTTTACTTTTTTGAGACAGTCTTGCTCTGTTGCCAGACTGCAGTACAGTGGTGCAATCTCAGCTCACTGTAACCTCCGTCTCCCAGGTTCAAGCGATTCTCCCGCTGCAGCCTCACTAGTAGCTGGGATTACAGGTACACACCACCACACCCAGATCATTTTTTTTATTTTTTAGACAAAGTTTTGTTCTTGTTGCCCAGGCTGAAGTGCAATGGTGCAATCTCAGCTCACTGCAACATCTGCCTCCCAAGTAACTGGGATTATAGGCACCCACCATCATGCCCAGTTAATTTTTGTATTTTTTTTTTTTTTGAGACGGAGTTTCGCTCTTGTTACCCAGGCTGGAGTGCAATGGCGCGATCTCGGCTCACCGCAACCTCCGCCTCCTGGGTTCAGGCAATTCTCCTGCCTCAGCCTCCTGAGTAGCTGGGATTACAGGCATGCACCACCATGCCCAGCTAATTTTTTTTTTGTATTTTTAGTAGAGACGGGGTTTCACCATGTTGACCAGGATGGTCTCGATCTCTTGACCTCGTGATCCACCCGAATTTTTGTATTTTTAGTACAGATGAGGTTTCACCATGTTGGCCAGGCTGGTTTCGAACCCCTGACCTCAGATGATCCACCTGCTTTGGCCTCCCAAAGTGCTGGGATTACAGGTGTGAGCCACAGCACCCGGCTCCTTCTTGTTTTGGACCGGGGTCTCCCTGTTACCCAGGCTGGAGTGGAGGGGTATGATGACTGCTCCCTTCAGCCTCAACCTCCCAGGCTCAAGCGATTCTCCCACCTCAGCCTCCCAAGTGGCTGGGCTCACAGGCATATGCCACCACACCCAGCTGCTTTCTTTTTTGTTGTTGTTTGTTTCCAGGACATTCTGCAAGGGAAAGTGCTTGTGGAAGGACGCACGTGGCGAAGGGAGGACAGAATCCAGCGCCGTCACCGGCAGCTTCTCTGGCTTTTCTAAAACCATGAGCTTAGGCTCTGTAAATAGAGTACACCGGCTTTCACAAGCTTAGGATTCACCTCCCAGGAAAGAAAACACCGTACACAGCGATGGAGTCCAGCCTCCTGTGCTAGAAGAGGAACTCAAAACGTCTGCAAAGGAGGCAGCCAGAGGCTCAGCACAGTTGGGTGGTTAGCGCAGTCGAAGCCAAAGCCGGCCCCAGCAGGCTCCTGAGTATCAGATGCGTTCATCACTCTGGTTAGTGAACAGGGGGCTGTGGATTTCACAAAACGTGCTGGGAGGTCCTTTACCTGAACTAACAGGGCTTTCTGTTTTATTTCAGAGCTCCTATCTGGGTCTGAAGGAAGTGGGCTTACAGGGCACTGGACTTCTGTATCTGAAAAGGCAAATGATGCTTTAAAAAGAGCTTAACAGGAATCCCTCAAGCCTACTGTATCTAGTTCTTTTTTCTTTCTTTTCTTTTTTTTTTTTTTGAGACGGAGTCTTACTCTGTTGCCCAGGCTGAAGTGCAGTGGTGCGATCTTGGCTCACTGTAATCTCTGCCTCCCAAACCTCTGCCTCCCAGGTTCAAGCAATTCTCCTGCCTAGTAGTGTTCACTACCATGCCCGGCTAATTTTTGTATTTTTAGTAGACATGGGGTTTCACCATGTTGCCCAGGCTGGTCTTGAACTGCTGACCTCCGGTGATCCGCCACCTCAGTCTCCCAAAGTGCTGGGATGACAGGCTTGAGTCACTGCGCCCAACCCTCTAATTTTAAATATTAAAGAGTGAAAGCTGTACTCCGAAATCTACAGACTGGGCCCAGGGTCACAGAGAAGGGAGAGCCCCCCCAGAGCCTGGGCAGCTGTGGAGGAGCAGGACAGCATGGCTGGAGCCCCTGGCCCCAGCTCAGGGCTGTGCATACACTGGCCCACCCGTGCCCTGTGAGTGGAACAGGCTAGGGTCGCTGGGCCGTGGTCCCGGCCTCTAGGAAGCCCCCACCACGCCCAGATGGGAGAGCTCCCACTGAAGCACTGGCTCTGGGGTCGCCCTTCGGACTGGAGCAGGATGAGCAGCCTACAAGATACTCACATCTCCACGTTCCAGCTTTGGCTCTGGGTGTTGAAATAGCCCCAGCTGGCAGCATTCTGGTCGGACATCAGGGGTCTTGGCAAGCCACAAAGCATGGCAACCACATAGTCGTGGATGGTCCCAGCTGCATCGTAGGGCTTCAGGAACTCTGGGCTGTTTTTTTACACCAGAAACAACACAACAGGGTATAACATGAACTCGGAAGCATGTGCCGCGCCTCGCTGCAGGCAGCGGGGACTGGATGTGGCATGGCGGGGGCGGCCACACCCCACATGCTAAGGCTCAACTACAGCCGGGTCCCTGGAATTGGGACCTCCTGGCTGCTCCGAGCAAAGCCAACCCAAGTCAGTCCCAGGGGAAGGGCCTCAGAGGAGGAAGGGGCAAGCCTGGGAAAGCAGACACCAGCCTCCTCCGCAGCCCCGCAGGCCTGAGCACACTGCGAACTCACCCTGTGACCCTCAGCAAGTCACCTGCCCTCTCTGTCCCCTCCTTTCCCTATCTAGGTGGTAACTGGGTAACCAACAGAGAACGCTCTGCAAAAGGATGTGGCTCTGGACCCAGTCTAGGTCCAGGCTGTGGTCTAGCTCACCATGGAGCCAGGCCACACATGCCACGGTGCAGCCCAGCCGGCAGGGTGATGCCTACACAGCCCCAGCCCATTCTCATTCTCCTGGAAACCCAGCGCCAGAGTCAAAGTGCCGTTGTCCATACCAATTCTTCAAAAGCCAGAAGATGGTTGCACAGCCAAAGCCCGTGGCCACACTGAGATGAGACTTGGGCTGGGGCAGAGAGGCCAGGAACTCGCTGCTACAGCGGCCATCCTGCCAGGTGACAAGGTGGCTAACAGCTCGGGGCGCCAACACAGGGCTGATCCCTCCCTCGGTCCATTCACAGCCTGGAACAAAAGAGATGAACGAAAATGGAAAAAAGGCGCCACACGGCCTGGATGCTACTCTGCTGGTGAGTCTCAAAACACGTGCTAATCATCCTGGGATACGCCTGGCGCACCTGTGGGTCCCGACAGCACCGGGTTTAGTACTTGGCTCAACCACAGAATGACTGTGGGACCCTGGGCACGTCACATGCTCCCTCCGTTTGTCCCACTTGTCTGTTTTTCTTATCTTTTTGAAGTTGAGATCATATTTCACCACATCCCATAAGAGAAGACATTTGGCCGGGTGTGGTGGCTCACGCCTGTAATCCCAGCTACCCGGGAGGCCAAGGAAGGAGAATCGCTTGATCTTGGGAGGCGGAGGGTGCAGTGAGCCAAGATCGTGCCACTCCACTCCAGCCTGGGCCACAAGAGCAAACAAAAAAGAAGAAAACCTTAAGTACCTTTAAACTCCATCTAAAAAAAAAGAGAGAAGATATTTGGCACAATCTCAAGTCCCCTGGTCTCTGTCTTGCCAACCCTCTTCATGACATTATTTAGACTTCCTTCTACTTGATTACCAGTAAATGTTCTCTTTTCTTTACATCTTAGCTGATTGATATTTACTGATTTTTTAGACAGAGTCTCGCTGTGTTGCCCAGCACAATTTTGGCTCACTGCAACCTCCATCTCCCAGGTTCAAGCGATCCCGTGCCTCAGCCTCCCAAGTAGCTGAGACTACAGGCCCACGCCACCATGCCTGGCTAATTTTTTGGATTTTTAGTAGAGAGGGAGTTTCACCATGCTGCCCAGGCTGGTCTTAAAACTCCCGTGCTCAGGCAATCCACCTGCCTCAGCCTCTCAAAGAGCTAGGATTACAGGCGTGAGCCACTGTGCCTGGCCCCTGATTGATTTTTAGACATCAAAATTGGCTTTTAAAAAATCTGACCATCTCTACTTCATTTGTGTCTTGTGACATCCTCTGGATTTTTCTGTGCTCTCATCCAGCTGTTTTGCCCATGTTCCATTTTTAAATGCCAGTTTGATCAGCTGTAACAGTCTGGTTCTAAGTTCCTTCCCTTCAATGCTTAAAAGCACTAATTTGGGGCTGGGTGCGGTGACTCATGCCTGTAATCCCAGCACTTTGAGAGGCCAAGGCGGGTAGGTCTTGAGGTCAGGAATTCAAGACCAGCCTGACCAACATGGTGAAACCCTGTCTCTACTGAAAAAAACAAAAACAAAAACAAAAACCCAAAAATTAGCCGGGCATTGCTGGTATGTGCCTGTAATCCCAGCTACTCAGGAGGCTGAGGCAGGAGAATCACTTGAACCCAGGGAGGCGGAGGTTGCAGTGAGCCGAGATCATGCCACTGTGCTCCAGCCTGGGTGACAAAGCAAGACTCCATCTCTTCCCCACCAAAAAAAAGCACTCTTTGTGGTCGACTGTCACAAATTCCTCACTATTCCTCCCATTGAGAGGTGGCATCTGAATCCTCTTTCCTTGAACATAGAATCACTTTGGTGACGTGCTTGATCAAAAGAATGTGGAGGCAGTGATGTCTTGGGACTCTCAAGGCTAGTCACAGGAAGTATTGCAGCTCCCAACCAAGTCTCTTACACAACTCTCTGGGGTAATCAGCCTCCAAATAAGAAGCGCACCTACCCACTGCGCGCAGCGGCTCACGCCTGTAATCGCAGCATTTTGGGAGGCCAAACTCCAGATCACAAGGTCAGGAGTTCGAGACCAGTCTGGTCAACACAGTGAAACCCCGTCTCTACTAAAAACACAAAAATTAAAGAAGAAAAAAGAATACAAAAATTAGCCAGCGTGATGGTATACGGCTGTAGTACCAGCTACTCAGGAGGCTGAGGCAGGAGAATCACTTGAACCCAGGAGACGGAGGTTGCAGTGAGCCAAGATCACACCATTGCACTCCAGTCTGGGTGACAGAGTGAGACTCTGTATAATAATAATAATAAAAAAAGGAATCAGAATTACCCAGAGGCCGGGGACAGAGCAGTTGGCAGACCGTTTCCAGATGAGCCCAGCCTCCAGCCTTCCCCACCAAGGTACCAGGCATTGAGGAAAGCCACTGTGAGCCCCCGACCAGTCTGTCCGCCAGAGGAACACTAAGAAGCCACCTCCATCCACAACCTCCATGTAGAAGCAGCAGTGGGCTGAGCCCTACCCAATCCCTGACCCAAAAAATCATGAGATACAATCGGTGCTTTCTGCTTTCAGTCACTAAGTTGCAGGTAGTTTGTTATGCCACAGTTGGTCATCAAAATACTATTCCAGGCTGGGTGCCATGGCTCACACCTATAATCCCAGCCCTTTGGGAGGCCAAAGCGAGCGGATCACCTGAGGTCAGGAGTTCGAGACCAGCCTGGCCAACATGGTAAAACCCCATCTCTACTAAAAATACAAACGCTAGCCAGGCATGATGGTGCATGCCTGTAATCCCAGCTACTCAGGAGGGTGAGGCAGGAGAATTGTTTGAACCCGGGAGGCAGAGGTTGCAGTGAGCTGAGACCATACCACTGCATTCCAGCCTGGGCAACAGAGGGAGACTCCATCTCAAAAAAAAAAAAAAAAAAAAAAAAAAGGCCAGGTATGGTGGCTCACACCTGTAATCCCAACACTTTGGGAGGCCGAGGCGGGAAGATCACGAGGTCGAGAGATCGAGACCATCCTGGTCAACATGGTGAAACCCCGTCTCCACTAAAAATACCAAAAATTAGCTGGGCATGGTGGCGCGTGCCTGTAATCCCAGCTACTCAGGAGGCTGAGGCAGGAGAACTGCCTGAACCCAGCAGGAGGAGGTTGCGGTGAGCCGAGGTCACGCCATTGCACTCCAGCCTGGGTAACAAGAGCGAAACACCGTCTCAAAAACAAAAAACAAAAAACGACATTGTCTTTCCACATGGAGTGTTGCTGTTGAAAAAAAAAAATCTAACGTCAGTCTGCTCCTTCTTTCACATGGGATCTGATCCTTCGCTCTGCAAGCTTTCAGAATTCTGTCTTTGAAATCCTCAAATGTTCACTAGAATATATGTAGCTGTGGGGTTTTCCTTATCTCCTCTTTGGCATTCTATAGGCCTTTTCAGGCTGGGGCATTCCATCTTACTTTGTCAATTATAGGAAATTTTTCTCCATTATTTCTTCAAAGATTTCCTCCTCTCCATTTTTATTTTTCCTTTTCTGGTCTCCTATTACTTAGATGCATCCTCAGTATCTCTTAGTTCCTAGGGCACAGTGGCTCACAGCTGTAATCCCAGCACTTTGGGAGGCCAAGGCTGGTGGATCACCTGAGGCCAGGAGTTCGAGATCAGCCTGGTCAATGTAGTAAAACCCTGTCTCTACTAAAAATACAAAAACTATCTGGGCCTAGTGGCGGGTGCCTGTGATCCCAGCTACTCAGGAGGCTGAGGCAGGAGAATCGCTTGAGCCCAGGAGGCGGAGGTTGCAGTGAGCCAAGATGGTGCCACTGCACTCCAGCCTGGGAGACAGAGTGAGACTCCATCTCAAAAAAAATCTTGTAGCTCTTCTTTTGTATTTTCTACTTTTTTGTCCCTTCCTTTTTCCTTCTGAGAGATTTCCTCAATCTGATCTTTCATTCTCTAGTTTGTTCTGAAGTTTTATCCATTCTGCTGTCAACCCATCATCTTATATTATTTTAGTTATATTTTCATATCTAATATGTGTTATGTTCTTTTTGTTTTCTTTTGTTCTGTCCTTACTAATATCTTCCTTTAATATCATTTAGTGTTTTTAGTGTGTCCATTCTTTTTGGGTTTTGTTTTTTTGGACACGTAGTCTCACTCTGGCACCCAGGCTAGAATACAGTGTCATGATCTCAGCTCACTGCAACTTCTGTCTCTGGGTTCAAGCATGTCTGATGCCTCAGCCTCCTGCAGAATGGTGCCTGCCAAGAAGGGGAGCAGGGCACGCACCCTAGAAAGCCGCTTCATGGCTGTGTCTGATCTCAGATCCCAGATCTAGGAGCCAAAGCCATTGTATTTTCCTATAAATTTCCTCACTGACAACCAAAGAAGCTGGGCTTCACAGTGCTCGCCTGCAGTCCCAGCTACTTAGGAGGCTGAGGTGGGAGGGTCAGCTGAGCCCAGGAGTTCCAGTCCAGCCTAGGCAACATAGCAAGAGCCTGCCTCTAAAAAACAAAAACGGGGGGCCAGGCACGGTGGCTCAGTCATCCCAACACTTTGGGAGTCTGAGGGGGCAGTTCGAGACCAGCCTGGCCAACATGGTGAAACCCCCTCTACTAAAAATATCCAAAAAACTTAGCTAGACGTGGTGGCGGGCACCTGTAATCCCAGCTACTCGGGAAGTTTAGGCAGGAGAATCGCTTGAATCTGGGAGGTGAAGGTTGCAGTGGGCCCAGATCGCGCCATCACACTCCAGCCTGGGAGACAAGAGCGAGACTCCGTCTCAAAATACAAAACAAACAAAAAAGAAGCAGTTTTCCACTCCCTTCGCCAACTCTTGACAAGCCTAAACATTTTGATTTCTTGCATGCAGCGGGTGGAAAACAACGCCTCGTGGTTTCCGTCCGCACGGCTCCTGTCACTAACGACGCTGGACATCTTTCCAGATGCTATGAGCCATTTGCATTTCCTCTTCTAGGAATAATGCTTGTGCCCTTTGCCCACTTGTCCACAGGGCTGCTTGTGCTCTCCTAGTTGCTGGTTCTCCACCCCCGCTGACCTGCCCTTTGCCCACTATTCACTACCAGACACTTTCTCCCTATCTGCTGCTCGCCTTTTAGCTTTCTTTTATGATCCTGATTTCTCTGCTGCTTTTTCTGAGCCTGAAAATGGAGTTTGGAAACCAGCGTGACCACGGGCCTTTCAGAGGACACTGGTCGCTCGCTCTCCCCGCCACCAGCACGCTCCCGGTGCCCCCTCTGAAGCACTTAGCTCTCTGCTCACGTTACTCCTGCCCGCCTGTGTTGACCGTGTTTTGGAAGGTAGAGGCTTCATTCCTTAATTTCTATCTCTCCGCCGGGGCCTCGCAAAGGGCTTTATATGTTGTAGGTACAGAAACCAAAATGAATTAAGGCTGCCATTAAAATCAGCAAGACTGGATCCCAAATGCGATTTCACTTGACTCCACTAAACAGGTATCGCCCTCGCCAAGCTGCGGCTTTCCTCCTTCCCAGAAACAGAAAACAAACCCAGAAGGCATGTGGGCTGGCTCAATAAAATATTCAGCAGCTCTTTCCAGCGATGCGGCTGATGGTTCGTGTGGCTGTCGGGGCGCCCAGGAGACGGGCAGAAGGGAAGGCACGTGACCGGGCCGCAATCATTAGCTCTCTGCCGTCCTCTTTGGGAAGGGTTTTAGTATTAAAAGGACATTTATTCTCGTTAATGCGAAATTAAGGAGTTTTAAAAGCTTTTACAACCTAGACTCCCTTTGAGAGGTTAGCGCTGACACCCTAATTGCCTTCTGCTCCCCATACTGCTTGGAGCCAAGCAGCTCCCATGACCCCGGCTGGCCCGACAACAGGCGGACAGGAGGGATGAAAGGGAGGGCGGAGGAAGGGGAGGGCGGAGGAAGGGGAGGAGAGAGAGCCTGTCTCGGGTTCTACGATTACCCAGCCTCATCCTGGGAACAATTAAAGGGTCCATCACTAGATGCCAGGCCCATTGACAGGGAAGTCACCACACACTTCAGGGCACTTGAAACTGCTGACTCTCCAGGTAGAAAGTGATGAATCCAGTGTTCATAACTACATCCCCCACAAAGTAGCCATCCATCTTCTGCTTAAAATGTTGATCTACAGTAAAATGTTGATGTTGTTGAAGCTGAGTGATGGATATGTGTTGGTTCACAGCACTATTCTCCCTATTTCTGTATGTCTGAATTAAATCTTTTATAATTTCTTTTTTTTTTTTTTTTTTTTTTTTGAGATGGAGTCTTGCTCTGTCACCAAGGCTGGAGTGCAGTGGCACCATCTCAACTCACTGCAACCTCCACCTCCTGGGTTCAAGTGATTCTCCTACCTTAGCCTCCCAAATAGCTGGAATTACAGGCACATATCACCACACCCAGCTAATTTTTGTAGTTTTAGTAGACATGGGGTTTCACCATGTTGGCCAGGATGGTCTTGAACGCCTGACCTCAGGTGATGCACCCACCTTGGCCTCCCAAAGTGCTGGGATTATAGGCGTGAGCCACTGCACCTGGCCAATACAATTTCTTTTAAAGTTTGATGTATTTTTTTCTGACACAGGGTCTTGCTCTATAGCCCAGGCTGCAATGAGGTGAAACAATCAAACTCACTGCAGCCTCAACCTCCAGGGCTCCAGTGATCCTCCCACCTCAGCCTTCCACATAGCTGGGACTACAAACACGAGGGGCACACCCGACTTATTTTTGCATCTTTTGCAGAGACAGGGTCTCACTATGTTGCCCAAGCTAGTCTTGAACTCCTGGCCTCAAGCAATCCTCCTCCTGCCTTGGCCTCCCAAAGTGTTGGGATTTATAGGCGTGAGCCACCATACCCAGCCTTAAAAAGTTATTTTAGTGCCTGCTGTAACAGGGAGCTCCCAGCTTCCTACGGGAGCGTCATCCTTCGCCGGACGCTCTGCTAAGAAGTCTCTCGCTGAGCCACTGTGTCTCCAGCAGCTCTGGTCCTCCACCAACAACCCCCACCCACCAGGCCTTCAAAAACTCCTCGGACAGACTTCAATTCGATAGCAGGGTTAACTTGCTGAAATGTGACCCTAAGCATATTATTCTAACATCTCTGAACGTCAACCTCTCATCTGCACAATGGTGGCGACAGTGTGACCTGTGTCATCAGGTTGTTGGGAATATCTGATGAGATCGTGAGCTGATGTTCTTAGCCAGGACCAGGCATGTGAAGTGCTCACTGTTGTTTTACTGGCTTAGTTCTCCTCCTCAAGGCCAAATAGAACATGCGACTCCACCTCTGTACCGTGGCCGACTTCATAAGATAACCAACTAGAAATGCTTAGCAACTGAGCCCATGAAAAGGATACGCTGGGCGTCATGGTGGCTCACGTCTGTAACCCCAGGACTTGGGGAGGCCGAGGTGCGTGGATAATTTGAGGTCAGGAGTTCAAGACCAGTCTAGTGACCAACATGGTGAAACCCTGCCTCCACTAAAAATACAAAAACTAACCGGGTATGGTGGCGGGCACCTGTAATCCCAGGTACTCTGGAGGGTGAGGCAGGAGCATCGCCTGAACTCGTGAAGTGGAGGTTTCGGTAAGCTGAGATCGCACCACTGCACTCCAGCCTGGGCAAAAACAGCGAAACTCCATCCATCTCAAAAAATATATATATATATGCCCCGGAATTTTCAAAATCACAAATATGTAAATGACAACAAACGTGCCCCAACTCAAGGGAGTGCCCTCTGTGTCTCAGCATCTCCTGCAGCCACAGTGAATCCCTTGGGTGTCTGCACTAATGTTCTGAGATACAGATAAAGAAAAAGCGATGGAAAAGGCACTCGGCTGAATCCTGCAGAGAATCCGGGAGACGCTCTGCTCCCTCTGCCTGTTCATGGATGACGTGCTGATGATGTGAGAGTGGGCAGCTCCCCTGTTCCCCTCACATCTGTACAACATTCACCGATGCAGGAGGCAGCCCAGGTTCGTCCATTCCCAGAGACAGGGCCCTGTTCCCACGGCAGGATAACCCGACCCTTCACGGAAAGGAATGACCGCCACCAGCCTGAGTGCACCCAGAGCCCGGCATACCTTGGCCTGTTTTCCAAAACACGACTCCATGCATCTGGCCCGACACCCCGATGCCCACAACGCTCCGCAGCAGCTGCCGGGGAAGGGCAGCGAGGCACTCGTTTAAGGCTCGGAGGATTCTACTCACATCCTGTTCCCGCCCCTGGAAGCAGAAGAGAACACGCTGGGCAGCGGGAGGGGCGCAGCCTCCGAGGATGTCCTGGAGCAGGAATGTTGGGGGCAGCACCCACGCCCTGACACTTGACAGCCGAGGTGCTGCTGCAGGGGCGTTGCAGCAAACTGCCTGGGCCTGCCCTCCACTGGGGTAGGACTGAGCAGAGAACAGCATTCTCTGTGCTATAAATAGAAGAAACAGGGCCGGGCGAGGTGGCTCACACCTATAATCCCAGCACTTTGGGAGGCTGAGGCGGGCGGATCACCTGAGTGATCCGGGAGTTCAAGACCAGCCAGGTCAACATGAAGAAACCTCGTCTCTACTAAAAATACAAAAAATTAGCTGGGTGTGGTGGCACACACCTCTAATCCTGACTACTCAGGATGCTGAGGCAGGAGAATCACTTGCACCCGGGAGGCGGAGGTTGGAGTGAGCCAAAACCGAACCACTGCACTCCAGTCCAGGTGACAAAGCGAAATTCCAACTCAAAAATACATTATTTTGTTCATTTATTTATTTTACATATAATTATCATTTTATATCCTTATTTTATATATAATTATCATTTTATATCATTTATTTGTTTTATATATATATATATATAAATATTTTTTATATATATAAAATAGAAGAAATAAAGGAAGGGTCTTTCACCAGGCACAGGGAGCGGTCAGACCAGGGAACATGGCAGGAAGGAACCTGGCAGGAGGGTGGGGACAACAGAGGCCTACAGGACTCTAGGCAGAACCCTTGTGATTTCCCCTGTCTGGCCAGGCCCTGGGTCGTGCAACCAAGACCCACAGAGGGAAGCAGGTTAAGGGCAAAGCTGCAGGAACGTGTGCAGGTGGCATCAAAGGGCATGGGCTGTGTGAAGGAGTGGCAGGAGATAGGGCTGAAGGGGAGGGGAGGCTGGGGCCTAATGATGGGGGCCCCTGGGCAAAGGGCTCTTCCAAAGGTAATGGGCCACCCCTGGGTCTTTCTGATGGCAGAGATAATCATCAGAGCTGCTTTTCAGAGGGCTGACTGGGCAATGATATAAGCTACATTAGCCTGATAGAGGGGCCGGGCATGGTGGCTCATGCCTGTAATCCAAGCACTTTGGAGGCCAAGGCGGGCAGATCACCTGAGGTCGGGAGTTCAAGACCAGCCTAACCAACACGGTAAAACCCCGTCTTCAAAAAAATAAAATAAAATAAAATACACTGATAGAGAAGACCATTTCCCAGGGATGGAAAAGAGATTGAAGACAATCAGGACTATCTCTTCCTGATTAGCATTTTCTTCTGACTTCTTCCCTCCTTGAAAACTCTCAAGGCAGAATAACTTTAAACAACCATGTATGAGAGATCGCAGAATTTAAACAGAAACAGTAAGAGACAAGCACAATTTAGTCAAGTATCATATTCATATCTCTAAGAGTTAAGTGGTCCTAAAAGACAGAATATGAAAAGAATGCAGGGTCAGGCAGGTGCAGTGGCTCATGCCTATAATCCCAGCACATAGGGAGGTCAAGGCAGGAGGATCACTTGAGGCTAGGAGTTCAAGACCAGCCTGAACAAAATAGTGAGATGTCATCCCTACAAAAAATTTTAAAAATTAGTCAGATGTGGTGGCACATGTGCTTATGGTCCCAGCTACACGGGAGGCTGAGGCAGGAGGATCGCCTAAACCCAGGAGGTCGAGGTTGCAGGGAGCCCTTTCTGTGCCACTGCACTCCAGCCTCGGAAAGAGAGCGAGACCCTGTCTCAAAAAAAAGAAGAAAGAATGTGGGATTTGGACAAGTTCAAAGGTCTTCAGGGTCAGACTGTCAGGGAGGAGGGTGTGATGAGTATCTTAAAGAAATACCAAATGCACTCAAGCAGTCTGTCCAAATGGGTGGGAGTTACAGACACAACTTCAAAAGCAGACAGTGATGTCACAAACAAACCTAAGAAACCTGGACTCTCTGAGAGTACCTCTTCCTTTAAAGGATTAACGCCTCTCTGAGACTATAAATAGGACCCAAGGTCCCATCACATCCTAGTAGATGCCTCTAATCAGCAAGAAATATCAATACGCTAAGAAAGCCACCACAAAATAATCACTTGGGCAAACAATCCGGTGACAATCTCATTTTCTTGGTGACTAAATGTCAAAGAGGAATGATCGAGAATTGAATATATCCATGTTTAAAAGAATCATACTTATGCTATTAATATTTTTATTTAAAGACTCTTGGGGTACTGAGCATTTTAAGTAAATTTAGCTGGCCTAGGTTACCTCTATGACTGTGATTTAAAATGTGATATTGAGTAACTGTTCTAGATTTGAGATTATATGTTCAAAGCTTACATTTATAAAAAAGGATTTGGAACATATAAGAGAATTTAGGGTATGTATATATATATATATATATATATATATATATGTACACACACACAAATATATATTTATATATTTTTATATGTATATATTTATATATTTTTATATCTTTATATATAGACAAATACATATTTTTATATTTTCTATATTTATGTTTTCCATATATATTTATATTTATATATACTATATATATTTTTTTTCTTTTTTTTTTTGAGTTTCACTCTTGTCGCACAGGCTGGAGTGCAATGGTGTTATCTAGGCTCACTGTAACCTCACCTCCCCATTTCAAGTAATTCTCCTGCCTCAGCCTCCCAAGTAGCTGGGATTACAGGCATGCACCACCACACTCAACTAATTTTTGTATTTTTAGTAGAGACAGGGTTTCACCACGTTGGCCAGGCTGGTCTCCAACTCCTGACCTCAGGTGATCCATCTGCTTTGGCCTCCCAAAGTCCTGGGATCACAGGCGTCAGCCACCACGCCCAGCCAATAGGTATATATTTACTTGATTTCTAAGAATTACTTAATTATTCTGAAAACAAAAACAAAGAAACAAAAAAATCAAATATATAACTGCAGTTTAAAACATCTAAGGTATTTAATAGACTAAAATGGGATTAAGTATTATCTTTTTTTTTTAAATAGAGATAGGGTCTCATTAAGTTGCCCAGGCTGGTCTCAAATTCCTGGCCTCAAGCAATCCACCCACTTCAACCTCCCAAAATGCTGGGATTACGGGCATGAGCCACCATGCCCAGCCTTTCAAAGGCCATCAAAAACAATAGTTAATGGGGCATTTATCTAATGGATTTAAAAAGAATAATAGTTAAAATGTTAGACTAAATGGAATAAACTTTATAAGCTAAATTTGCAATTTTAGGTAAAAGGGGTCAGGCACCGTGGCTCACGCTTATAATCCCAGCACTTCGGGAGGCCGAGGTGGGTGGGTCACTTGAAGTCAGGATTTCAAGACCAGCCTGGCCAACATGGTAAAACTCCGTCTCTACTAAAAATCCAAAAATTAGTTGGGTGTGGTGGCACACACCCGTAGTCCCAGCTACTTGGGAGGCTGAGGCAGGGGAATCACTTGAACCCAGGAGGTGGAGGCTGCAGTGAGCTGAGATCACACCACTGCACTCCAGCCTGGGTGACAGAGCAAGACACTCTCTCAAAAAAACAATTTTTTTTTAAGGTAAGAACGAGGATTCTGAATTTCCCATAAGTGAAACACATATCATGATTTTTTCCAAAGTGAATTATTTCTGCACACAAAAATCACCTCAAGGTGTCAGAGGTGTTTGAACCAGAGCACCTCCATCTTGAACAGGGGCTGGGTAAAATGAGGCTGAGGGCCGGGCGTGGTGGCTCAAGCCTGTAATCCCAGCACTTTGGGAGGCCGAGGCAGGTGGATCACGAGGTCGAGAGATCGAGACCATCCGGGTCAACTTGGTGAAACCCCATCTCTACTAAAACTACAAAAAAAAATCAGCTGGGCATGGTGGTGCGTGCCTGCAATCCCAGCTACTCAGGAGGCTGAGGCAGGAGAATTGCCTGAACCCAGGAGGCAGAGGTTGCGGTGAGCCGAGATTGCGCCATTGCACTCCAGCCTGGGTAAGAAGAGCAAAACTCCGTCTCAAAAAAAAAAAAAAAAAAACGAGGCTGAGGCTGAGACCTGCTGGGCTGCACCACCTCTGTGACTTAGACGGTCAAGCATTCTGAGTCACAGAAGGAAACAGGTCAGCACAAGACACATAAAGTCCTTGCTGATGAAATGGGTTGCGGTAAAGAAGCCACCCAAAACTCACCAAAACCAAGATGGCGACAAGAATGACCACTGGTCACTGTCACCATTACACTCACACCAGCACCGTGACAGCCTACAAATGCAGAGGCAAACGTCAGGAAGTTACCCTAGAAGGTCTACAGAGGAGAGGCATGAATTTCCACCCCTTGTTTAGCATATCATCAAGAAACAACCATTAAAATGCGCAACCAATGGTCTCCAGGGCTGCTCTGCCCAGGCAGCATTCTTTAAATCTTTACTTTAATAAACCTGCTTTCACTTTCACTTCCCCGGAATTCATGGGTGAGATCCAAGAACCCTCTCTTAGGGTCTGGATTGAGATCCCTTTCAGGTAACAAAATTGAAAAATAAACTTCTACTTAACAATTAGAAGAGGCCTGGTATGGTGACTCATACCTGTAATCCCAGCACTTTGGGAGGCTGAGGCAGGCCAATCAGCTGAGGTCAGGAGCTCGAAACCAGCCTGGCCAACATGGAGAAGCCCCGTCTCTACTGAAAGTACACAAATTAGCAAGGGGTGGTGGCGCACACTTGTAATTCCAGCTACTCAGGAGGCTGAGGCAGGAGAACTGCTTGAACCGGGGAGGTAAAGGTTGCAGTGAGCTGAGATTGCGCCACCACACTCCAGCCTGGGGGGCAGAGCGAGACTCCACCTTAAAAAAAACTAGAAGAATCCACAGAAAGTTCAGAAGAGAAGAAGAGGAAGAGAGTTGTGACCCAGCTCTCAAGAAATGTCAGCTCTTTGAGGAACTAGCAAAGCTCAGTTCGAAAAGACATCCAAAGGTGGAGTTCTCAGACCTCTCGCTTCCCTGCAGGGAGGCTGCCTTCCCCTCCTGCCAAAACCTCTCACTTGACCCTGTTAGCAGGTTGGCCTTGGTCAGGGCAGCTCTGGCTCCTAACACGCAGGAACAAGGGAAGAGAAAGAAGGAAGGAGAGGAAGGGTAGGAAGGGCCAAGGAGTACAGAGGAAGCACAGCCTTTTCCTAGGGAGCCGCCCCAGAGCCCGACAAGGATTCTACATGCAGCAGAGAGCACAGCCAAGAGGAAGTGAAAGACTAAGGCAGAGGAGCCAGGTGGCTACGAAGGATCCCCAGAAGGAGGAAAGAAAAGCAGGGTGGTGACACAGGGCAGAGAGGAGCCAGGTGGCTACAAAGGATCCCCAGAAGGAGGAAGGAAGAGCAGGGTGGGGACAAGGGGGTGTGGGCGAAGAAGAAAGGTTCTGGGAAGAGACATTTGTTTAGACCCGCACAGCCCAATACCGAAAACTTAAGCTACACGTGGCTACTCTGAACTGAGACGTAAATGTAAAACACACACACCAGATTGCAATATGACAAAAAATATACACTATCTCATTTAATCCTTTTTTTTTTTTTTTTTTTGAGACAGAGTCTTGTTCTGTTGCCCAGGCTGGAGTGCAGTGGCATGATCTTGCTCACTGCAACCTCACCTCCCAGGTTCAACTGATTCTCATGCCTCAGCCTCCCAAGTAGCTGGCATTACAGGTCCACACCACCACACGCAGCTAATTTTTGCATTTTTAGTAGAGATCGGGTTTTGCCATGTTGGTCAGGCTGGTCTCAAACTCCTGACCTCAAGTGATCCACCTACCTCGGTCTCCCAAAGTGCTGGGATTACAGGCGAGAGCCAGTCACCCAGCCTTTTTTTTTTTTTTTTCTGGAGACAGAGTGTCACTCTGTTGCCCTGGATGGAGTGCAGTGGCATGATCTCGGCTCACTGCAACCTCCGCCTCCTGAGTTGAAACAATTCTCCCACCTCCCTGAGTAGCTGGGATTACAGACGTGTGTCACCACACCTGGCTAATTTTTATATTTTTAGTACAGATGGGGTTTTGCCATGTTAGCCAGGCTGTTCTCAAACTCCCAGCCTCAAGTGATCCACCCACCTGGGCCTCCCAAAGTGCTGGGATTACAGGCGTGAGCCACCGCACCCCACTACAGGTGTTACTGTACATCAGTGGTTCCCACTCCAAGTGGTTCTGTCACCTAGGGAACATTTGACAACATGTAGACATTGGTTGTCACATCTGGGGAAGAGGGGCAAGTGTGACCAGCATCTAGTGTGGCCGGAGATGCTGCTAAACATTCCGCAGTGCCCAGGACACCTCTCACCACAACAGAAACTACACAGCCCAGAAAGCAGCGCTAAGGTTGAGAAACCCTGCTGTCCTGCTGCAGACTAAATCACAGCAGTGCTGTTCGTCCCAGAGCACGGTTCCTATGTGGGGTGAGGGTGGGGTAATGACTGGCCTGTAAGCACTTCATTAGGCAGGTGTGGTACGGGTGAGCCAGTAAGCACAGAATAGCCTGCTGAAAGCTGGGGGTGGGGAGTCGGGAGGACTGCAGAAAAGTCCTTTTCAAGAAGTGGCCATGCTGGGAAGGGTGGCTCACCTCTGTAATCCCAGAACTTTGGGAGGCTAAGGTGGGCGGGTCACTTGAGGTCAGGAGTTCAAGACCAGCCTGGCCAACTGGGTGAAACCCCATCACTACCAAAAACACAAAAAATCACCAAGCGTGGTGGTGCACACCTGCAGTCCCAGCTACTCTGGAGGCTGAGGCACGAGAATCACTTGAACCCAGGAGGCAGAGGCTGCAGTGAGCAGAGATTGCGCCACTGCACTCCAGCCTGGGTGACAGATCGAGACCCTGTCTCAAAAAAAAAAAAAAAAAAAAAGTTGCTCTATTTTAAGAGAAAGGGGCATTGCCTGAGCCTACTCTCCCCTAATCCGAGCTCTCCTGCTCACCCCGCCAGGGTCAGAGCTAACTTTGCCTCCAATTCATAGTTCTTTAAGTGAGAATCCTTCTAGTATGCCCTGATGCCCCAATCAAACTCATTTTGAAAGGTTCTATGTAAATACAAAGTGCTCCTAAATTCATATCCTCAGAAATGCTTAATGGGCATTAAGCCTAATGGGCTCTGAACCCTAAACAACTGTGTCCAGGTATGTGGCAAGAGCCTGGCAAAAACAAAGCTCTGTTGGGTGAGGTGGCTCACGCCTGTAATCCAGCACTTTGGAAGGCTGGGGTGGGCAGATCACTTGAGGTCAGGAGTTTGAGGCCAGACTGGCCAACATGGTGAAACCCCATCTCTACTAAAAATATAAAAATTAGCCCCATGTGGTAAGGCACATCTGTAATCCCAGCACTTTGGGAGGCTGAGGCAGGTGGATCACCTGAGGTCAGGAGTTGGAGACCAGCCTGGCCGATATGGTGAAACCCTGTCTCTGCTAAAAATACAAAACTTGGCCAGGCATGGTGACACATGTCTGTAATCCCAGCTACTCAGGAGGCTGAGGCAGGAGAATCGCTTGAACTCAGGAGGTTGCAGTGAGCTGAGATCGCGCCACTGCACTCCAGCCTGGGCAACAAAGGGAGACTCGGTCTCAAAAAAAAAAAAAAAAAAAAGTCTTGGGAGTGGGTCTTGGCTCAGAAAACCAAGGTTTGCGGCTGTAAGGGGCCTTAGGGGCTGCGTATTTCAACTCAGAGAACAAGCTGAGGCCCAGAAAAAAAGTCATATGAGGTTACACAGAAAGTCCCTTGATATTAATTTCTATTGCCAATTAAGTGAACACAGTTCAGTTTTCCTTTTTAAGGAATTAACGGGGTTCAGCTCTGAAGAGTAACATCTTTTCACCAACAGCTCCCAACAGAGCCCACGATCCTAAAATTGTCCATTTATCTACCTTGTAGCTTTCACAAGCCAGTAGCTGTAGTGTATAATTATCAACGTCACCCTTTAAAAAAAAAGTTTTAAGATATTTTTAAAAACGTCTATCTGCTCTTAAGGTGTCTTTCCTGCAACACGTCTCGGCCTTTGAGGCTGAGGGACTTTGGCTGACCAAGGACTTCTTAGTCCTCCATTCTGCTTCTGTGAAATGAGCCTGATTCTACATCTGATTTCCGGAAGAAAACACAGACTCTGCCCTGGGCAACACACTGAATCCTGAACTTGAGGTCACAGGGCAGGTGTGAGGAGCAGAGAGCACCGAGAGTGAGAGGGAGGCCTGTGTCATTCCACACACAGGAGGGCAGTTCCTCCAAGGTCAGGGGGCAGGAGAGCACAGGGATCAGCGCCGAGCGCAAGGGTCCAGAGGAGGCCAGAGAGTGGGGGCGGGGGGCGGGGGGGGGGCGGTCCCAGCAGGTGGGAAGGATTCCGGGAGCAGACCTCAGGGATCATGAGCAAAGCTGCTTGCAGGCAGAGGGAGAGGGGCCCCTGGAGAAGCTGGGGACAGGCTGGAATGGCGACCTCTTGGAGGGAAGGGCTGTCAGGGAGGCCTCCTGGGGAGGAAGAGGCGTTCGGGAAGCTCCTGGAGGCGGCGCGGCCCCGGGGCGCTACCTCACCTGGGGCCCGGCCACCACGCTCTCGGCCGCCGCCTCTGCCTGCGCAGCGCGGGCACAGCTCGCCAGCACCTCGAACCCGGATGGATCGTCGGGCGCGGCCCCCAGCAGAGCTGCCTTCACAGAGGTAGTGCCCAGGTCAATGCCGAGGGTGATCCGACGCGCAGCCATGGTCACCCCGACCTGCACAGCTCCTGTCTGCAGACAGCCGACCCCTACCCTAGTCCGCGCTTTTCACCCCGGAGGGCGGGGAAGGGGCGGGGATTCGCTCGCCAAACTTTCAGTCACACCTAACTTGGCGGTTTCTCGTCTTCCCATTGGCAGGAGAAGGCGGGCTGCCACGCCCGTCTAGGCAAGCTCCGCTATAGGCGGAGGGGCGGCGGAAGGCGGAACTTAAAGGAGGCCCCGCCCCGCAGGGCTGTGGATTCCGCGCACTGTAGCGCGGTTTGAGCCCTTCTCACTGAAGGAGCCGAAAGGGGCTGGCGGCTTCAAGAGCCTCTGTGTGTGTCCGTAGCAGCGGCCTCATCCTCCCTCACGCCCGAGCCCCGAGCCCCGCCCCGCCCCGACCCAGCGCGCTCTGCCCAGCTAAAACGCGTGGAAACTACAAATCCCAGAGCGCACCTCGCCGCCATCGGCGAATCAGGTGGCGGAGGTCAGGTGACCGCGGGCCCGCCTCCCCAAAGTCCAGCCGGCCCCGGGAACGCGGCGCTTTCCGGAGCTGCACCTGGCGAGGCTCCTGCGTCCTGCGAGGTCGGGTCCTCGAGCCTGGGGGTGCTCAGGTGAGAGCGGGCGCCGCCTCCCCCGTTTCCCAGGTGGGCCCCTAGGGGCGCAGCAGGTCGGCGGGGCAGCCTCCCGCGGAGCAGCGTCCTCTGCCGTGCCGGGCTCGGTTCCCCGCCGCCAGTGCTGGCCTCGCGACCCCGGACACGCCCTGGGTGGAAGGGCCCGGGCGGGGGTCGGCGGAGGCCGGGACGGCGGGCTGCCGGGTGGGTGCGGTCCCCAGCCCTTCCCTTCTGCTCGGTCTTGCAGATTGCTCTGGAGACGCTGCGAGGACCTTTGCGGGAGCGCCGGTGGACGCGCGGAGTGCGGGGCTCCCGGGGCTGAGCAGGGCGAGACCCTCCCCTCCCCTCCGGGTTTTCACGCTGGGCGAAGGGAGGACCTGAGCCCTGCCCCTTCCAGTACCTGCCAGGAGGATAACCTTGCTTTGTGGGAGCTCGCTCGGCGCCCTGAGCAACAGAGGTAGCCACTTTATTAGATCGTCGTTTCTCAACCTTGCTATTCCTACCCACCCCCTCTCGTAAAATTTAATACCGCTGGTACACCCTGTATTTGTTTATGTGACCGCAAACCATTGTAATAGCTGTTTTCACCACCCCCTCCCCCCACCCCCAGTCAGTTTTTTTCTCTTTCCTTTTTTTTTTTTTTTTTTTTTTTTTTTGAGATGGAGTCTCCAGCCTCTGTTGCCCAGGTTGGAGTGCAGTGGCTCCATCTCAGCTCACTGCAACCTCCACCTCCCGGGTTCAAGTGATTCTGCTACCTCACCCTCTCTAGGAGCTGGGACTACAGGCGTGTGCCACCATGCCCAGCTAATTTTTGTATTTTTAGTAGCGACGGGGTTTCACCGTGGTGGCCAGTCTGGTCTCAAACTTCTGACCTCAGGTGATCCGTCCGCCTTGGCCTCCCAAAGTGCTGGGATTACAGGCGTGAGCCACGGTGCCCAACCCACCCCCAGCCAATTTTAGCCTCACTTGACAATGCGTGCTTTATATCTCCTCATTTAAGTCCTATGAGGTAGTTACCACCGTCCCTGTTTACCCCCACAAGTTACATAACTAATAAATTGGAACCCAGGTTCAAGCGTGTCTCAGTGCACACAGCCTTTACCACTACCTGTATACCCTCTCCAGAAGCAGGAGACCCAGGGAGTTCCCGGTGGTAGAACAGAGGACAGGACCAACAATTCATAGCTGGCAGAGGAGAGCTGCCACAGGACACCCCAAGCCCCAGATTGCTTCTGGAAAGGGACTAATGGGTGAGGGGCTTCTTGAAACATGTGACGTCCAAATAAGGCTTGGGAGATAAGTTAGAACTTACACAGGAAGAGCATGCCAGACAGAGCCTGGTGTCAGGAGATGCTTTATTCCTATCTTGTAGCTTTCACAAGCCACTACTTGTAAGTCATTATCAATCTGATTTTTTTTTTTTTTTTTTTTAATTTGAAACAGAGTTTCACTCTTGTTGCCCAGGCTGGAGTGTAATGGCACTATCTTGGCTCACTGCAACCTCTGCCTCCCAGGTTTAAGCGATTCTCCTGCCTCAGCCTCCGGAGTAGCTGGGATTACAGGCACACGCGACCACACCTGGCTAATTTTTGTATTTTTAGTAGAGGTGGGGTTTCACCATGTTGACCAGGCTGGTTTGCAGGAGCCCTGGGAGGCTGGGAGGGTGGGAGGACCTGAGCACTGCGTGCCGAGGCAGCGCAGAGACCAAGCTACAGAAATCCATGCTGGCCTGCCTGCTGTTGACCCACGGTTCGCCTGCTGTGTGTTGGGGATACAGGAATGCAGCACCCCATCTGCCACGCTAAGCCAAGGAGTCACTCTGGGCTCATCCCTCCCTGAGTCCTCCTCGTGAGGTGATCCCAGCCAATCCTGGAATGGTGACACTTGTTAAATGGAAAAGTCTCGCTGGGCATGGTGGCTCACACCTGTAGTCCTAGCACTTTGGGAGGCTGAGGCGGGCAGATTGCCTGAAGTCGAGAGTTCAAGACCAGCCTGGCCAACATGGAGAAACCCCGTCTGTACGGAAAATACAAAATTAGCCAGGCGTGGTGGCGCATGCTTCTAATCCCAGGTACTCAGGAGGCTGAGGCAGGAGAACGGCTTGAACCCAGGAGGCGGAGGTTACAGTGAGCCGCGATGGTGCCACTACACTCCAGCCTGGGCAACAAGAACAAAACTCTGTCTCAAAAAAGAAATTTTTTCTTTTTAAGTCTTAAGGGTCAGTTGGTATCATCAGCCCTTAGACTCATATCCCGGGATAGGAAAGGAAATTGATTTCCTTGAGATCGGTAGGTTCACAAGGTCAAATATCTGACCACAATTTTAATAACTTTTGGAGGAAAAGAATCTTGAGCCACTAAATCCGCATTGTTTCTTTCTGCTAAGTGGCAAAAAGCAGTTGAAGAAGGAAAAATTCAGGTCTGTGTTCACTTCCTCAGGAGGGCACTTTACACAACCCAGTCGGCTGCTCTGAGCCTGTTTCCCTGTATAGCAAAGAAAGATAAGTCGTCTCTAGGTGTCCTGAGGCTGTGATGCAAAGGCCGTGAGGTCAGAGCAGTGAAGTGGGAGTCCTTTGTGAGCTGTCCCATGCCATGGCTCAAGAGGGCAGATTTTCTACAGGGAGCTGAGCTGATTCAGTAGTCACGTGAACTTCTCTCTTGCTGTTTTTCTTCCTAGTTCTGAGAAATCGGGAAACATGACAAGGAATTGGCTGACTATTTTTATCCTTTTTCCCCTGAAGCTCATAGAGAAATGTGGTAAGTTTAGAAATGGCACATCAACTTTGCAAAGAGGGAAATGGTGGCTGGAGAAAAGAGTAGACTGACCTGTTTGTCGCTAAAGATTTAGTAGTGTGCAGACCACGTGTCTCTGCCCTTCGGCCATGTGGCCACTGGGGTGGTGGGGCAGACCCAGGTGTGAGATCCAGGTGTTTCCCAAAGAGGCAGATAGTTCTGCACATAAGTGGCCTTCTGCCCTGGTATCTCTGTGCTTTTGCTGTATCATCAAAGTGAACAGGTGGTTCTCAGTCAGACTGCAGAGCCCAACAACCTGAGGTAATGTCTTTTTTTTTTTTTTTTGAGACGGATTCGCTCTTGTTACCCAGGCCTGAGTGCAATGGCGCGATCTCAGCTCACCGCAACCTCCGCCTCCTGGGTTCAGGCAATTCTCCTGCCTCAGCCTCTTGAGTAGCTGGGATTACAGGCACGTGCCACCATGCCCAGCTGATTTTTTTGTATTTTTATAGAGATGGGGTTTCACTATGTTGACCAGGATGGTCTCGATCTCTTGACCTCGTGATCCACCCGCCTCGGCCTCCCAAAGTGCTGGGATTACAGGCTTGAGCCACTGCACCCGGCCTGGTAATGTGTTAAAGAACAGCTGAGGCTGCAATGGTGGCTCACACCTATAATCCCATAGCTTTGGGAGGCTGAGGCAGGAAGATCTGTTGGGGCCAGGAGTTTGAGACCAACCTGGGCAACATAGTGAAACCCCACATCTACCAAAAAAAAAAAAAAAATGTAAAAAAAATTAGCTGTGTGTGGTGGCTTGTGCCTATAGTCCTAGCTACTTGGGAGGCTGAGGCAGGAAGATCACCTGAGCCTAGGAATTCAATGCTAGGGTGAGTTATAATCACACCGCTGTACTCCTGCCTGGGTAACACAGTGAGACCCTGACTTTAAAAAAAGAAAAGGCCGGGTGCCGGTGACTCACGCCTATAATCCCAGCACTTTGGGAGGCCGAGGCCGGTGGATCACGAGGTCAAGAGATCGAGACCATCCTGGTCAACATGGTGAAACCCCGTCCCTACTAAAAATACAAAAGTTAGCTGGGCATGGTGGCATACGCCTGTAATCCCAGCTACTCGGCAGGCCAAGGCAGGAGAATTGCCTGAACCCAGGAGACGGAGGTTGCAGTGAGCCGAGATCGCGCCATTGTACTCCAGCCTGGGTAACAAGAGCAAAACTCCGTCTCAAAAAAAAAAAAAAGACTGGCTGCGCCCCTGCCCTGTGGACTTGGCAGAGAGAGTCCTGGGTCCTGAGAAACACCAGGGAAGCGGAACAGGTGGCACAGATCACCTGGGGAGTCTGCCCAGCATCCCCCTGTAAGATGAGAAAACCTTCCCTTAGAGGGGGGCTGAGGAACCCCGGGCGCAGCAGCCCAGCGGGGCTAGAGGTCACATGGAGCACACTTGGGATGGAGTTTACACATCCTCGTAGGAGGACTGACCTTCAGCGCTGGCCTGTTTGAGGCCCGTGCCCTTCTAGCAATTCTCCCACTGCCCAAAACATCTCTGGAATTCCTCCCGGAAAGAGCCATGTTTAGCACTTCAAGGGCACTGGGCCCATTAATTTGATCCTCAGGTTGTCTGTTGGGTCAAATACAAAACAATGAGATACATCTTAAATTCCCAAGTCAAGTGAACCTTGACAGACGGTGTAAATCCTCCCCGGAGCCTAGACTCCGCTGTTATCTGGCGTCTTGAACCTCAGGAAACGGTGGCCACCTCATCATCTCTTCTGGGTTTGTTGAACAGTCAGTAATGTTTGCCTGTTGTCACACCTTGCGGATAAGCAATTTCTGGGAAAGAAAGGTCCTTCAGCCCCTGGAGCCCGGTGTTTCTCAATGCAGATGTCTCTCAATGCAGATGTCGGTGTCAGAACCCCGTCCCCGCCCTGCTGGATCAGACTTTGTGACACTAGAGCTGGAGTGTGTCTGTGGCTCCCGGATGTACACACATACACACACTTAAAGCCCCATTAGTAATGCTAATACTTTCCCCTAAGAGAAAAACAGAAAATCCAGCTACCACCACTCCAGTTACCCCGAGGGGAAACAGGCCCAGAGAGGGTAGAAGGCTTTCCCAAGTCACACAGCTAGAAAATAACAAAGCTGGGACCCGCATAGGGTCTCTGCTGCATGAGATCACTTTGCCTCCTTTCCTGAATGCCATTAGAAAAGAAGAATGCGCAGGGCGCGGTGGCTCGCGCCTGTAATCCCAGCACTTAGGGAGGCCGAGGTCAGTGGATCTCTTGAGGTCAGGAGTTTGAGACCAGCCTGGCCAACATGGCGAAACCCTATCTCTACTACAAATATAAAATTAGCTGGACATGGTGGTGCGTGCCTGGTGGCTGAGGTAGGAGAATCGCTTGAACCCAGGAGGTGGAGGTTACAGTAAGCCGAGATTGCGCCACTGCACTCCAGCCTGGGCAAGAGTGAGACTCCATCTCAAAAAAAAAAAAAAAAAAAAACAGAAGAATGGAAGCCATCATCACATCAAGTCACAGGAACTGGATTTCCAACCTCATTCTGCCCTGTTTCTTCTCTTTGCTTCGGGGAGTAATGGTTAAGGACCCCAGGTGAGATGACTGGCCTTCAGAATTGTCTGTCTCTGACTTCTCTGGGTGGAATCTTGAGGCAGTGCAGCCTCGTGGCAAAAGCTGGGCTTTGGACTAAGACAGGCCTAGGTTCGAGTCCTGCCCTCACCATTTTCAAGCTGTGTGGGTAAGACTCCTTTCCTCTTAGAATGCTCAGTTTCTCGAACTCTAAAATCGGAATAATAATGCCTGCTGCCTCTCACTGTTGTAACAATTAGAAAATGGGAGCTAGGAGTGTAGCACAGGGCTGGTACAGGAGGTGCAGAGTGGGCAAGAGACCTGTAAGAATTAATGTTAAAAACCTGGCCGAGCACGGTGGCTCACACCTGTAATTCCCATACTTTGGGAGGCCAAAGAGGGCGCATCACTTGGGCACAGGAGTTTGACACCAGCCTGAGTGAGACCCCATCTCTACCAAAAAAAAAAAAAAAGTTGTTTGTTTGTTTGTTTTGAGACGGAGTCTGGCTCCGTCGGGGCTCCGTCGCCCAGGCTGGTGCAGTGGCGTGATCTCCGTTCACTGCAACCTCGGCCTCCCGGGTTCAAGTGATTCTCGTGCCTCAGCCTCCCAAGTAGCTGGTGTTACAGGTGCATGCCACCACACCTGGCTAATTTTGTATTTTTAGTAGAGACTGAATTTTATCATGTTGGCCAGGTTGCTCTCAAACTCCTGACCTCAAGTGGTATTCCTGCCTTGGCCTCCCAAAGTGCTGGGATAATAGGCATGAGCCGCCATGCCTGGCCCCCAATTTTTTTTTTTAATTAGCTGGGCGTGGTGGCGCATGCATGTGGTCCTAGCTACTTGGGTGGCCGAGGTGGGAGGATCACTTGAGCCTGGGAGGTCGAGGCCGCAGTGAGCCATGATCACTCCAGGTCACCACTGGATTCCAGCCTGGGTAACAGCCAGACCCTGTCTCAAAGACGGAAAAAAAAAAAAAAAACAGATTCTCTTTAGGGGGAACTTAGGATGGTGTTATGACTCATTTTGTAATTCTGCTACAATGTAAAGATTTCAGAGTTTCTGGGGCCAGCTTCCTAACTGCCTCCCACCTTGTAAGAATGCCCTGTTTGTCATGTGATGATAATAATGCAACAGTCATTTAGCATTTGGGCTGTGGAACACTTACTAGCATTGCTGCGTCTTATCTTCACAGTGACTCTGAGGTAGGGCTTGGTATTCTCCCCATTTTACAGATAAGGAAATGGAGGCTCAGAGAGGGTAAGTACCTTACCCATGGTCACACAGCTAGGAAGTCTCAGAGCCAGGATGGAACTGTGTGACTTTGGAGCCCAGTATCTCAGTTGCTGAGCACCTCGGTTTTCTGTGGTGCTAAAGAAGGGGGAAATGAACATTCTCTGATCTGGTTCTTGGAGAGTTCACAAACTCTTACTGTATTTTATTTTGTTGTTGAGACAGAATCTCAGCCTCTGCGGTAGCTGGGATTGCAGGCACCCGCCACCAAGCCTGGCAAATTTTTTGTATTTTTAGTAGAGACAGGGTTTTGCCATGTTGGCCAGTCTGGTCTCGAGCTCCTGACCTCAGGTGAGATCCACCTGCCTCAGCCTCCCAAAAGGCTGGGATTACAGGTGTGAGCCACTGCCCACAGCCTCCTATTTTATAATGCAAAGATCGTAGGAGCTCTGTGGCCATGTGGATCTCCCGCTCACCGAGACCTCCACTACCTCCAGCAGAGCCCTCGGGATCCAGAGGTCTGGCTGCCTGGCTGGCATCCCATCCTGAGCAGTGGCTGGTTCTGGGCTGGCTTATCTGGCATGGTCCTCAGCTCTAGGCAGAACTGAACTAGCAGTATAGGAAGTCCTGCACCACCCCAGCTATGCAAACCCCGAAGAAAGCCTCGGAATGACCTCAGAGCAGTGAGCCTGAAAAAGAAGGGTAGGATTGCCACAGCGGCCTCTGGGCCCTGAGGCTCCACATAAGGAAGGGCCTGCCTTTTGCTCCTATAGCAGCTTGGCTTCCGCAGGGGCCGGAGGGCATCCTGTTCTGAGGAGCCCAGCCAGCCAAGAGAGGGCTGGAGATGGGGGCCTGTGGGAGTCTCCACCCAGGGACCTACAGGCTTGGGACAGAGCTTGCGTCTGCCTTCCGGTGGGCTGAGTACGGAGAAGGCAGCTCTCAGAGTCTGAGAGGCTCGATGTAGCAGAGCCTGGCCTGAGAGGGCGAGTTTCAGCCTGTGATCTCAGAGGAGATCAGGTTACAGAAGAGAAACTACCAAGTAGGAATACTGAAGCGGAGAATCAGAGGTCGGACTGGGTAACTAAGTTTCCTTCTGGGCTGGGCACAGTGGCTCACGCCTGTAATCCCAGCGCTTTGGGAGGCAGAAGCGGGCAGATCACCCGAGGTCAGGAGTTTGAGACCAGCCTGGCCAACATGGTGAAACCTCGTCTCTACTGAAAATACAAAAATTAGCCAGTGTGGTGCTACATGCCTGTAATCACAGCTACTGGGGAGGCTGAGACAGGAGAATCACTTGAACCCAGGAGGCGGAGTTGCAGTGAGCAAAGATCGTGCCACTGCACTCCAACCTGGGCGACAGAGCAAGACTCTGTCTTGGGGGAAAAAAAAAGTTTCCTTCCAACCCAAGCATGTAAAATTTCAGATCCCAACTCATCCGCCTTTGAGGGGTCTGAGTGCAGGGGTCTGGGTGGGCGACAGCCGGACCTGCTGGCAGCCTCTGCCATGACAAGTATCGTGTTCATCACAGCCCTTGCCAGTCCCCGCTCTACCCAGATCATGATCATGACCTCTAGGCTATGTATAATCCTGAAGGCAGGCAGGTGGGGGAGGTGAGATGGGCAGGTGTGGTGTGAGGCCTCCAGCACACCTGGGAGCAAGGGTGGGGACGGGGCTGCCCTAAGAATACAGGAAGGACAGAGAGGCCGACTCAGTCCTGCCACCAAGGTGCTCTGGACAAGTTGGCCTCAAAAGATGATTTGCTTTCTTTTGTTAAGAAAATCTTTTTTAGGAACAGGGTCTCCCAACTCCTGGGCTCCTGTGATCGCTCACCTTTGTCTTCCAAAGTGCTGGGTTTACAAGTGTGAGCCACCGTGCCTGGCCCCAGGATGGTTTTCTAAGACCCAGACCTGCTTCCCCCTCATCTGGGGGCCTGTTTGTCATCTTTATTTTGAGATAACACCTTAAAACGAAGAAGAAATCTTTTTTTTTTTTTTTTAAGATGGGGTTTCACCATGATGGCCAGGCTGGTCTTGAACTCCTGACCTCAGGTGATCCACCCACCTCGGCCTCCCAAAGTGCTAGGATTACAGGCGTGAGCCACTGCGCCTGGCCGCCAAGAGGAAATCTGAGACTGAAACAGCTATTCATTCACCCTTCCTTCTCCAGCCCCCACACACATGATAGCCTCAGGAAGGGACCAGAGCCGGGGAGCCGGGCGTGTCAGGGAGCCCAGAGGGTTCTTTAGAAACTCATTCGCTGGGCCCATGTGTGTGTCTGAGCGTGCGGGCAAGGGGCTGGCCCTGTTGTTCAGGGCCGTTTTGACCTCATGAACAGAGGAGATCCTGCGCTTTCCATCTGAAGAGGTGGTTCAGGACTGCCTTTCACATTCCAGATCATGCGTGGATTCCTTTGTGGTGATTTTTGGGCTCCGTGTTCTCTAACGATCTCTGAGTAACTCAGCCACAGACTCAGAGCCTGTCCTTGCAAGGGGAGGAGGCGGCCCCGGCGTTTCCTCACACCTGTAATCCCAACACTGGGAGGCCAGAGAGGGAGGATCACTCGGGCACGGGAGTTTGACCCCAGCCTGAGTGACATACTGAGACCCCATCTCTACAAAAACAATTTTTTTGTGTGTGGTGGGGGGGGACACAGTCTCACTCTGTTGCCCAGGCTGGAGTGCTTCTGCTGGGGAAAGAATCTCGCCAGGGCCTGTGTTTGCCAGCCCATCACGGAATAGGGCTCGTCCGGGAGTCAGTGCTCAGGAGTTCAGATGGCGGGGGTTTCGCCCCCGTGTCCTGTCGTGGCCCGAGCTCTGACCCGGCGCCTCATGTCATTGATTTGGGTCCTTCCAGAGTCAACTGTCAGCCTCACCGTTCCTCCCGTCGTAAAGCTGGAAAATGGCAGCTCAACCAACGTCAGCATCACCCTGCGGTAAGTTCCCAGGCCTGGCGCTGCGCTCAGCCCTGCTCAGACCCTGCAGCTGGCTCGGGGTTGACCCCTGGCCAGTCTGTTCAGATTTCAGATGCGCTGCTCTTGCCTCTTACCTGTAAGACGAGCCATAGAGAAAGGGATAGTGGCAGCCGTGGGCTGCAGGGTGGGATCGCAAAGGCTGACCCCAGCCTGAATCCCCACTTCCCCTGGGAGGAGAAGGAAGGGGTGCTTCTCCCAGAGACGTGGGTCCTTTCCCTGGGAAGAGTCCTGCGTGACCAGCAGTTGATGCCAGACTTCAAAGCGATTCTAAGACTAAATATTTCAAGAGATTCCTGAAGGGCAGGGGGCAGGGGGCAGAGCTGCTGGATGGCATTCTGAGGTTGCTCTCGAAGCAGAAGTGGCCGTGGTGACGCTGCTCACACTGGGCCTGGTGTGGGATTCTCCTTGCTGCTTTCTGCTGGCTGGGGCACAATCATTTCTACCTAGGCCGGTCGGCACAAGGAGGTTGCTTTGCCCTGTCCTTGCCTCCGGGCTGTGATGAAGACCTAGAGTCCCATCCTCTCTACGCCTCTCCCCCTTCCTCGCCTCTCCTGCCAGTTCTGACCTGAAACCAAACCCCTATCCGGCCTGCCCTTCCCACCCCTACCTCCTCCTGTCTCTGCACCTCCTCCCCTGCAAATGTCACAAGTCACCCTCTTCCCACAACTCTCCAGACCCCCGAGAGGCCTCTCGCTGTCTTCCAAATTAACTCCAAGCTCCTCACCCCAGAGCCGGGGCCCAGGAGGGGCTTCCAGCCTTCTGCAGTCAGATGCCTGTCCCAGCTTTCCAGGCACGCACTGCTCCCTCCTCACGCCTTGCCTGAGCTGTCTCCTCCTCCAGTCTAATGCTGGCCCTCACACAAGGCCCTGCTCAGAACCCACACCCTCCGGGAAGCCTTTCCCACCGGAGCAGGGAGCCACAGTCCCGGGCCTCCAGAGGCCTCATTTGTCATTGCACCCCGTTTGCTTTCTTCCCTGTTCTCACCCTACCCTGAAGGGACGGACATCTGGTCTCCTGGTTAAGACAGGAAAGCCTACGGAGCAGGATTTCCACCCCGCTACCCCTCGGGTGGAGCACTTAGCATTTCCTAAACCTGATTGCATGAGACTGGAAGGCCAGATGTGAAATCCAGAGGGTCGGTTGGGCTCTCACTGCCTCCGCTTCTCAGCAGTAATTAGACTCTTGTCCTCCACAGGCCACCATTAAATGCAACCCTGGTGATCACTTTTGAAATCACATTTCGTTCCAAAAATATTACTATCCTTGAGCTCCCCGATGAAGTAAGTAACCAATCTTAACTGACGGGTAGGGAAATGCTAGGTAACAAAAGACATTTTCGTTAAGAGCTGGTGGAAATAGATCTCCTAGGCGGTCCCTGTTCCATCATCCCGGAAATCTGTCATTTTGGCTGTGTTGGTCTCTTTGGGGATGAGGATTGTATGCCATCAGATGGAATTAAGAAGGTGATAGTGAGAAACCTGAGGCAGAAACGGTTCTGGAAATGTAAGTTCTTCATGATTTTTGGCTGGGTACGGTGACTCACACCTGCAATCCTAGCACTTTGGGAGGCCGAGGCAGCCAGATCACCTGAAGTCGGAAGCCCAAGACAAGCCTGGTCAACATGATGAAACTCCATCTCTACTAAATACAAAAACTAGCCGGGCATGGTGGTGCACACCTGTTATCCCAGCTACTCGGGAGGCTGAAGCAGGAGGATCACTTGAACCCAGGAGGTGGAGATTGCAGTGAGCCGAGATAGCCCCACTGCCCCCCAGCCTGGGCGACAGAGTCAAACTCCATCTCAAAAAAAAAAAGAAAGAAGTCCTTATGATTTTCTAAGGCCTGGCTACTCAAAGGGCATTCAAGAACCAGCAGCATTGGGCTTACTTAGAAATGTAGCACCTCAGGCCCGTCTCACACCTACTGACTCAAAAGTCAGTGCCCTAGCAAGATCCCCAGATGGTTTGAGTCCACATTCAGGTTTGTGAAGCGCCCTTCTGAGACACCACTGGTTGGGGGTCGATTCCAAAACCCAGTGCCAGAGGTCATGTGGTCTAGTAGCAGTAGTTTTACGCATGTATCTGCGTGTACCCTGCTGTCACCTTACTGGGAGTTAGAGCCAGTTTATATTCAATTGGATAAAAAGCATCCACAGGGGACGTGGTAAACAAGGGTTTAAAAACCAAGATGAATGCATGTCAGTCAGGATGCATAACTTCTGAAGAGCTATTGTACAATGTGGCGATACAGTTAATGATCGTGCATCATTGCATACCTGAAAATTGCCAAGAGATGAGATCCTAAATGTTCCCACCACAGCTGGGTGCAGGGGCGTGCACCTATGGTCCTAGCTACTCCTGTTCTCACCACACACACGAGAAAGACAAGTATATGAGATGATGTATACGTTAATTAGCTTGAGTTAGTCATTTCACAATGTATGCATGTCCCAAAGCATCACCTTGTGTGCTGCGAATATACACTTTTTATTTGTCAGTTATACCTTAATAGCACTGGTGGAGGCAGGAGGAGGAGGAGGATGCAGGGATGAGATCAGTATCCATGAGGCATGTCGTGACCACGTGGTGAGGCTCGGGGTGCTTGTAGGGATGGGCTGCAGATCAGCTGTGAGCCCCCCAGCAAGCATCCGGGAATGAAACACGATCTTTCTCAAGCATGTGGGAATCTGTGATCTGAAAAATACAGCATCACTTACCGCAGTGATGTGCATCTGTAGTCCCAGCTACTTGGGAGGCTGAGGCAGGAGAATCGCTTGAGCCCAGGAGTTGAAGGCTGCAGAGAGTCATGATTATACCACTGCCCTCCAGCCTGGATGGTGGAGCAAGAATCTCTCTCTAAAAAATGAAAAATAAAAATAAAATGCTGTCTTTTTATACAGCATTGCTGAGAGCAGGGTCTCAGAGCATCCAGCGAAAGGGACCCTGCATAAGAGGGAGGTCTCCCCGCTCCATGAACACCTCGTTAGACAGCATCGTTCCCCACAGCTCCCCTCTTGCCCGGGGTGTGAGGCCAGCGTGGGAAGCCTGTGGGTTCTGACAGCACAGCCCTTTGATAAAATTCAGATTAAATTCAGACTCTGGGAGAAACATGCTGATTGCTTCGTTTAGGGCCAGATATCGAAGTCCAAGTGTCATCTTTTTGTTTTTATGTATTGGTGTTTTTTTTGTTTTTTGGAGGTTTTTTTTTTTTTTGAGACGGAGTTTCGCTCTTGTTACCCAGGCTGGAGTGCAATGGCGCGATCTCGGCTCACCGCAACCTCCGCCTCCTGGGTTCAGGCAATTCTCCTGCCTCAGCCTCCTGAGTAGCTGAGATTACAGGCACGTGCCACCATGCCCAGCTAATTTTTTTTGTATTTTTAGTAGAGATGGGGTTTCACCATGTTGACCAGGATGGTCTCGATCTCTCGACCTCGTGATCCACCCGCCTCGGCCTCCCAAAGTGCTGGGATTACAGGCTTGAGCCACCGCGCCCGGCCGGAGGTTTTTTTTAGTACAGTGGCATGATCTCGGCTCACTGCAACCTTCGCCTCCTGAATTCAACCCGTTCTCCTTCCTCAGACTCCCGAGGAGCTGGAATTTTAGGTGCCCTCCATTAGGCCTGGCTACTTTTTGTATTTTCAGTAGAGATAAGGTTTTCCCATGTTGGCCAGGCTGGTCTCAATCTCCTGACCTCAGGTGATCTGCCTGCCTTGGCCTCCCAAAGTGCTGGGATCACAGGCATGAGCCACTGCACCTGGCGAAAGTGACATCTTCTGAAGATCAGGTAAAGGCAAACATAATGTTAAGGAAAATCTGACCCCAAAAAAGCCCGGACCGTAGGAATTGTTGAACATGAAGCACAAATAGATCCAGCAAATCCACAGTGTCAGTCAGGACAGCAGTGAGCCTTGGGGCCAGGAGAGGCTGGAGGGAGCAAGGGGGGCTTCTGAGGACTTGGGATTGTTTCATTTCTTCATCTGGGAGCTGGATGCATTCAGGCTGTAGACTTTTCATCAAGCTGTGATGTGTGTACTTTTCTACCTACATGTCATAGTTCAGTTTTTTTTAAAAAGTCTTTACCAGGAAGCGGCCTGGCACGGTGGCTCACATGTATTCCCAGCACTTTGGGAGGCTAAGGCGGGTGGATCATTTGAGGTCAGGAATTCAAGACCAGCCTGCCCAACATGGTAAAACCTCATCTCTGCTAAAAATACAAAAATTAGCCAAGCGGTAGTGGTGCACGCCTGTAGTCCCAGCTACTCGGGAGGCTGAGGCAGGAGAATCACTGGCGCCTGGGAGGCGGAGGTTGCCGTGAGCCAAGATCGTGTCATGGCACTGCAGCCTGGGTGATGAGCGAAACTCCGTCTCAAAAAGACAACGTCTAGGGTCATCTGTGGCACATAGGAAGCACTCAGTGAAAGGCAGCGATGATTATTTCATTCTGTCTTATATCAGTCCGTCTACTGATTTTCTCCCTGCCTAGTTCCAGAAGGGATTCAGTGGCCACTTAACAGGCGTGCAAGCAACATTGCAAGGAGTTATCTGTTAAAAATAAGAAAAAGTGAGTGACAGGAAAATTACAGAGCCAGGAGTGGCACGTGCTGTGAAGACGTAGCTTGCAGGACATGGACCGTACGTCGGACTCCAGGCTTTGCAGCCACCACCACACCATTTCACTTGGTCTGCTGAGGCCCCTGATTTCTGGTGCTAAGAACAAGGAGGCAGTCCTTCAGAGGTCCTCGTTAGGAAGCTGCCGCGGGCTGCGGCAGAGCGCCTGTAGTCCCAGCTCCTCTGGAGGCTGAGGTGGGAGGATCGCTAAGGCCCAGGAGTTGCAGTGATCAGTGAGCTACGGTCGTACCACTGCACTCCAGCCTGAGCTACAGAGCAAGACCCTGACTCTTAAGAAGCTGAAGCTGGCTGGTCTGAAGTTAGTGAGTTATTTTAACTGATTGTCGACAGTCAGTTACAGATCAAACTCCTTGTTCTACCCTTTCCCCACTTCTCACTGCTGCGCTTGGCTAGTCCTTAAAAAAAAAAAAAGCCGCCACTGCAGTCTAATGAGCCAGATCATCACGGCGCCTGCAATGTGGGTGGAGGGTTATCCAGGGAGCACAGGAGCTGGGGACCAGGGGAGACAGTGTGGTTCAGTAAGGATATCATCCTGCTCTCCACCACTCCAGGAGGATTTAAGAGGCTCAGGAAGGGCTGGGTGCAGTGGCTCACACCTGTAACCCAGCACTTAGGGAGGCCAAGATAGGTGGATCACTTAAGGTCAGGAGTTTGAGACCAGCCTGGCCCACATGGTAGAACCCTGTCTCTGCTAAAAATACAAAAATTATCCGGGCGTGGTGGCGCATGCCTGTAATCCCAGCTACTCGGGAGGCTGAGGCAGAAAAACTGCTTGAACCCAGGAGGCAGAGGTTGCGGTGAGCTGAGATCGCGCCACTGCACTCCAGCCTGAGTGACAAGAGTGAAACTCATCTCAGAAAAAAAAAAAGTCTCAGGAGGAGTGCTTGGGAGATCCGATGTTGCATGCAGGCCCCCGGGTGCATTTTCTGGAAGCAGAGCATTTGCTAAATGTTGGGGAGCAGCAGGGTGAAAATGCCCCCGTGCCAAGTGTCTCGTGTGTGCCCCGCTTCTGCTTTCTCACTTGGCAGCCAGGCTGGGCAAGGGCAGACAAGCTTTTGTGGACACTGAGGAGCCTCGTGGTGGTGAAGTAGAAGTGATCGTATTGTGTAGCACAGTGGCCCAGCTTGCTGCATGCCAGGGTCTGTGCTGTCGCCTTTCTGGACATCCTGTTAATTCATGGAAGCCCTGAAAGGTAGACACTTTTTTTTTTTTTTTTTTTTTTTAAAAAACCAGAACATTTATTGTGTGACTAATCGGTGAAATTTTTTTTTTTTTTTTTTTTTTGAGACGGAGTTTCGCTCTTGTTACCCAGGCTGGAGTGCAACGGCGCGATCTCGGCTCACCGCAACCTCCGCCTCCTGGGCTCAGGCAATTCTCCTGCCTCAGCCTCCTGAGTAGCTGGGATTACAGGCACACGCCACCATGCCCAGCTAATTTTTTGTATTTTTAGTAGAGACGGGGTTTCACCATGTTGACCAGGATGGTCTCGATCTCTCGACCTCGTGATCCACCCGCCTCGGCCTCCCAAAGTGCTGGGATTACAGGCTTGAGCCACCGCGCCCGGCCTTAATCGGTGAAATTCTTAAGATGAACTGGATGCTGCAACAGCTGCCCTCTTGGCTTTAGGTGTTGTTCCTTCACGGAATCCATGCCCGAATCTGCGATATACAATTTTTAGATGCCTCATTCGACCAGTGCTGGTGGTATTTCGTCTTTTAGCCTTGGCACTCCAGTTATACTTTCTCTTGCGCTTGGCGGGGTAGCCACATTTGCCGCAGGTCGACTTCTGAAGGTGGTAGGCCTTAGAGCCACAGCGGCGGCACAACGTGTGCGTCTTATTACGACGCTTCCCAAACGATGACGTTCCCTTCGTCATCCTGCTTCTGCGACCCGGACCAGAAAGCTTTTTGTTTTTTTTGAAACAGAGCTTCATTCTTGTTGCCCAGGCTGGAGTGCAGTGACACGATCTCAGCTCACCACAACCTCCACCTCCCAGGCTCAAGCGATTCTCCTGCCTCAGCCTCCCAAGTGGCGGGGATTACACGCATGTGCCACCATGCCTGGCTAATTGTGTGTTTTTAGTACAGATAGGGTTTCACCATATTGGTCAGGTTGGTCTTGGAATTCCTGACCTCAGGTGATCCATCCACCTCGGCCTCCTAAAGTGCTGGGATTACCGGTGTGAGCCACCACACCCAGCCAAGATAGACAGTTTTGTTAACTCATTTTACAGATGAGCGACCTGAGATCAGAGCTTGAATCTGATCTTGCAGGAGGTAACGTGCTCAGTGAGAGGACAAGAGGCATTCCTCCTTCCCTCAGAGATAAGCCAGAGGAGGGCATGAGGACGAATCCACACCTCTGCTCAGAAAGTCTCACCCAGGCCAGGCGATGTGGCTCACACGCAGCACTTTGGGAGGCCAAGATGGGCAGATCACCTGAGGTCAGGAGTTTGAGACCAGCCTGGCCAACACAGTGGAAGCCCATCAGTACTAAAAAAACAAAAATTAGCTGGGCATGGTGGCACATGCCTGTAATCCCAGCTACTTGGGACTTGGAAGGCTGAGGCAGGAGATGTACTTGGAGGCAGAGGTTGCAGTAAGCCAAGATGTCGCCGTTGCACTCCGGCCTGGGTGACGGAGGAGACAACTCTAGCTCACCAAAAAAAAAAGTCTCGGCCAGGTGTGGTGGCTCACACCTGTAATCCCAGCTCTTTGAAAGGCTGAGGTGAGTGGATCACCTGAGCCCAGGAGTTCAAAACCAACCTGGGCAACACAGTGAACAGGGAGTTCGAGGGGCAGGAAGGTGGGGCTGTGGGTGATGCATCCCCTCATTCCCTGGCGTGTAGCATGGAGCTGGATGCCAGCAGGGCCCTCCGCAACTGTACATGGCATCAGATTGAACCTCCATCTTCCTAACAGGTTGTGGTGCCTCCCAGAGTGACAAATTCCTCTTTTCAAGTGACATCCCAAAATGTTGGACAAGTTACAATTTATCTGCATGGAAATCACTCCAATCAGACCGGGTAGGCTGGCCTGGGTGCATGCGGGTCTCACATGACAAGAATCGGGCGGTGCTGGGCGCGTGGGAGTTTCCTTCAGAAGGCCAGCCTCGGCTCATCCGGGTCCCCAAACCCCTTTCCAGCCCGCGGATACGCTTCCTGGTGATCCGCAGCAGCGCCGTCAGCATCATCAACCAGGTGATTGGCTGGATCTACTTTGTGGCCTGGTCCATCTCCTTCTATCCTCAGGTGGTCATGAATTGGAGGCGGAAAAGGTAACCCGCTGGGCCTCTGTGCACCTCTAGGAGCAGGGCATTCCAACAAGGCTGGGATGCTGCAGCCTCAGACGCCCCTCTCTGCCCTTCCGTCTGCTTGCCTTTTCCGGAAAGCTCTCCTGATGGGAAAGCTCAGAGAGCCTGGGCGGGGCTCCAGCGCTGGGCATTTCATCTGTTGCCCAGCTCAGCCCCTCCCTGTGAAAGCAACAAAACGGGGCTCGTTAGTCTAGTGGAGATTGGCCGGCGGTGGGGGGGAGGTCCTCCGAGTCTGCTCTGCAGGGGCTTGTCCAGCCCTGGAGGACTGCAGTGTCAAGTCCTGTGTACTCAGCCTTGGAGACAAAGTGGTCCCACCTTGGCTTGCATCCACGTGCAGTGAGGACACAAGCTGTCCTGCCGTCACTCAGGCCATGTGGGCCTCCTCGGGGGTGGAAGCAGAGAGCCGGGAGGGGGATGCTTTCTTCAGCAGGCCTCCCAGCTTCCCTCTGGAGCCAGGACTTGAGGAGCAGGGAGATCTTAGCATGGGAGGAAGGAAGGGAGGAAGGGAGGGAGGAGGGAAGTGGCGCTTGGGAGCAGGGCTTGGGTGGCATCCATGGTGGTAGCAGGATGAACTGAAGGACATGAGAAGGGCCGAGCCCTCGTTCCCCTCGGCCTGGGAGCCTGTCCCTCCCATTCCCTGCAGTGGCACCATCCTCACTCTGCCCTGCCATGCCCCTTCCCACCCTCCACCCCTCCACAGCGTCGTTGGGCTGAGCTTTGACTTCGTGGCCCTGAACCTGACGGGCTTCGTGGCCTACAGCGTGTTCAACATCAGCCTCCTCTGGGTGCCATACGTCAAGGTATGGCCTCACCTGCCCCACAGCCCTGCCCCTGTGGCGTGGCAGCCCGGCGCCCCTCACCACCCGGCTTGCCCCAACCGCTAAACAGGAGCAGTTTCTCCTCAAATACCCCAATGGAGTGAACCCCGTCAACAGCAACGACGTCTTCTTCAGCCTGCACGCCGTCGTCCTCACTCTGATCATCATCGTGCAGTGCTGCCTGTACGAGGTGAGTCCAGGCCTGGCCCCCACAGGCTGCCCCGCCAACACCCGCCACCCACCTGACCTTTGACATAAGACGTGGCAGACCCTGGGAAGGGAAGGGTGTGCGTTCATTCGGCCAGGGCCCGTGTGGGCATAGTACACACTTGGGTCCAGGCCCTCAGAGTCCCCGACTCGGGGGTGAGGGACTCGGGGAGAAGCAGTGATCAGACTCAGGCCAAGAGCCATGCGCAGAGGAGCAGACAGCTCATGGATGAGGCAAGGCCCTGAGCCCCACCAGGGACAGGGGAGGAGGGCAGAGAGCGGAGGAAGACACTTGCCAAGCCCTCCAAGGATGAGTGAGGTTCCCACAGAGGAGGGGCGGGGCCAGGGTGAGCTAGAGGGGTCCAGTCACGGAGGCCAAGGGGCATTTGAGAGGAACCCTGAGCAGGTGGGTGCAGCTGAGCTTCAGGGTGCCAGGAAGGGCAAGTCCCAAGGGGTCAGGAGGGCCCCGAGTACAGCCAGAGGGACCTGCACTCAGCCTGGCTGCTGGAGGCCGTGGGTGCCAGCAGGGCAGGGCCGCGCCAGGGCTGGGTTGGAAGACCGCTGCTGGGACAGCTCTGCTTTCACCTCTCAGGGAGCTCACACCGGATGGCCCGCCGGGGGCTGTCGGGTCCCACCTTCGTGAACCTTCCAGGCTTCCTTAGCTTTTGGTGTGAAGTGAGAGTGAAGGAATGCTGTGGGGCAGTGTTGAGGGAAAGGCAAGGCTGGGGACCAGATTCCTCAGATCCTCAGGCTGCCCCTGGCACAGGGAACGAGGCAGTGCCTGGCCAGGAGAGGCACCCGGCCTCAGGTCGGAGCCCTTGTCTCCACCGCTCTCCTCCCCCGAGGGAGTGGTGGGGCGCCCGGTTCTGCCAGGTGGGAACACAGCAGACGGGAGCATGAGAGCCCAGTGGCCTGAGCGGAGGTCCCGGCGATGGGAAGGGTGGTTGGTGTGGGGACGTGACCCTCCCCGGGTGTTGATGCTTTCTGTGACCCAGATGTTCCCCCCCCCATGACCCCAGTGCAGGCCGCCCTCACAGGGGCTGCTTCAAGGCCAGGGTCCGGCCTCTGTGCCCCACTCCAAGCCTGCCCTATCCGGAGCCATCCCCGCTCAGCCCCGTTGTCCTCTGGCTGGTCTGCATCTCTGCCCTCTCCTCCTGCCCCCAGCGTGGAGGCCAGCGCGTGTCCTGGCCCGCCGTCAGCTTCCTGGTGCTGGCGTGGCTCTTTGCGTTCGTCACCATGATCGTGGCTGCGGTGGGGGTGACCACGTGGCTGCAGTTTCTCTTCTGCTTCTCCTACATCAAGCTCGCGGTCACGCTGGTGAAGTATTTTCCACAGGTACTTCAGGGGCCCGGTTCACGTGGCAGGCGCGGGAGGGGTGAGAGGTACACCCTCCGGACCCTGCTCCTGTGCGCCAGCTCCTGCCAGGGCGAGGAGACAGGACGGAAAGCCGCAGGGAGTCGGGGAACCCAGCAGGAGCGGGGCATGGGGAAGCCAGCCTGCCGCGCTCCCTCTGGCTGGAGTCACATGAGGTCTTTAGGGGAGGCTCCCGGGACCCCATGCTCCCCTGAGCATCGTGAGGGTGGTTCCCCTTCCCACACCCTAGTCTTTACTGATGCCTTTGGCTCTGCCTCCATTTCTACAGCAAGGGCAGCCCCCGGGGGCCACAGTGGAGACCGGAGAGGTGAGGTGGGAGGAGGGAGCCCCCTGCGCAGAGCTCCGCCCCTCCTAGGACTGCAGCAGCCACTGTCTTCAGACCCGGGGACTCGGGGCCAGCACAGCTGGGACAGGGTCGGGCTGCAGTTGCGGCACCTGGGCATGTGGAGCCTCATTTAACTCACCCTATTCCCCGAGGGAGGACCCCCGTTCCGTGTCCCCAGCCTTGGGAGCCTCATGTTTTCTGCCTTGGGAGGGACAGGGTTCGAGGGGGAGGTGGGGCTGCGCTCAGGGCGAGCAGGACTGAGTTCTGTGGACAAGGGGGCGGCGGTGTTCCGGGCCCGGCAGCCTGCACAGAGGCAAGGGCCGGACAGCGCGGGGTAGTGAGGGGGCAGCTACTGGAACAGTACTGAGGGTGTCGAAGCCGGGAGGCCGGGGCCAGGTCCCTGGAGCTGGAGAGGGCTTCTGAGGAAGGGGACGGTTTGGGGAAGTGGGGCTCAGTCCCTGAGGGTGGGAAGGCTTCAGGCCAAGAAGCTGGAGGGAGAGGCAGGTCCCTGGGTTGGAGGCATTTGGAATTGTCCGGCACTGGATGGGCAGCAGCAGGTACGGAAGAGGGAGAACCAGTACACAGCCCAGGACCCAGTGGAGGCTGACTGGGAGGCCAAGACCTGCCTCGTGGGGGGGAAGGGAAGGTCGCAGCAGTCAGAGGACCCTCAGGGCACTGCTGCGTGGCTGGGGGAAGGAAAGGTGGCACCACAGGGGACACGGGGTGCTATGGCGTGGGAGGATGGGGGCACAGGCAGGCAGACTGGGGCGCATCCCCCACAGACCCACCACCCAGACCCAAGAAGCCCCGGCCAGGCCTGCGGCGGGAGCTGACCCGCTCTACAGATGGGGAAACCAGGTCTAGAAGTAGCCGCTCGCCCCAGGTAGCAAGCTCCAGTGACGGAGCTGGGCTTCCAGACCAGCAGTCCGGCTCCCCACCCAGTCCCTAAGCACAGCATGAAGTCCAGGCTGAGGGGGGACAGCCTTCACTGGAGGTGAGAAGAATCGTAGCTGCTGGGAAACTAGCCTTGTCCCCAGGGATGAGGAGGAGCCGGGAAGGCGGCATCTGGTCTGCCTCCGCTGGAGTTGTGGGGGGCGGCGCTTTGCTTGCTGTACAGGCAGATGAGGCCCCTGCTTCCAGGACCACGCAAACTGTTTTTGGCCGAGGCCTGTCATAGCCCAAAGGTCACTGTGTTCCCTGGAGCCAGGGCCTGAGTGGGAGGAGTGAGAACCGCTCTTGTTTGGAGGGACAGTCACGAGGTGCGGGAGGCAGCCGCCCCCTCACCGCCCTCCGCCTGTCCGTCCGTCTGGCCCAGGCCTACATGAACTTCCGCTACAAAAGCACCGAGGGCTGGAGCATCGGCAACGTGCTGCTGGACTTCACCGGGGGCAGCTTCAGCCTCCTGCAGATGTTTCTGCAGTCCTACAACAACGGTGAGTCAGCCGCGGTGCTCCCGGGGCCCTCCGCCAGCCTCCGCCCCCGCCTGGGATCCAAGCCCAGCCGCCCCCGCGGACAGACCCACTAGGGGCCATTGTAACCGGTGGATTGGTGGTTTTCTGGGACTCCCACCACCCGCACGCTCCTGCGGCCTCCGGAGCCGCCAGCCTAACCCCAGCTTCCATCCCCGGCTGCTCGCAGACCAGTGGACGCTCATCTTCGGAGACCCGACCAAGTTTGGACTCGGCCTCTTCTCCATTTTCTTCGACATCATCTTCTTCATCCAGCATTTCTGTTTGTACAGAAAGAGACCGGGGTACGACCAGCTCGACTAGCGCCCAGGGACCCAGTGTACACAGCCCCAGGCCTCGTGCCCGGTGGGGAAGGCCTCACGCAGCGAAGGCCGCAGAAGTGGCCGGGCCCTGGCGCTCAGGGCCGGCTCAGTGCGCGGACGGAGGGAGCGCGCTGCCCCTCAGGGCCGAAGGCCTTTCAGCAGCCTGCCCTCGCCCGGGCCCGCCCGGGCCTCCCCAGCCAGGCACGCGGCGCCTTCGTCTTGATGCCACCATCTCTCTTTTCTTTAAGGCTCCAGGCAGTGCACACAGGCTCTGGCAGCCGTCTCAGGCAGGACTGGGCAATGAGCTTGCAGCCGAAGCCTTGCCCCAAACCACCAGCGTGTCTGGGAGCAGCTTGAAGGGCTGACTTTGCAGCCGGGAGCGCCAAGGGCACTTTGCTGCCACCGCTGTGTTCCCAGAGACCAAGCAGACAGGCGCCGTGGCCAGCGGACTCAGGTGCTGGTGGAGGGGCTCAGACTTCGGGTTAGGACTCTGGGCTCGGACGTGGGGTTCTTTCTCCGAAGGCCACTTTCCTGACGCACTCTTTCTACGTAACTGAGCTCCCACGACTGCAGTAACAGCTGGCCTTACCCAGAGCATTGCTGAGCCCCGAGGTGTCCACCAGATCGGTTCTGGATTGGACTGATGCCCAGCAGATTAGCATACTAACTCCCTTCAGTTTTTGGAGGGCCGTTTCAAGTGGCTAACGCTCTTCTGCCCTCTCTCCTACCTCCACCTTCCGGTTAGATGAGCCTCATCCGAGCACACCCAGCTTCCTTACCCAGCATCTGGGGCACAGGACACACCTCTCTCCCGCTACCGGTCTGTGCCTTAGAGGTCTGTTAGGCCTGCCAAAGAGCGACCAGCTCCCCTGGAGGGAGGCCAGGCCCCCTTCTCGCTTTCCCCAGACCCCTACCTGAGGCTCACCAATTTCTGGCCTGTTCAGGAGCCTCAGAGAAGTATTTGTACTTGAGAGCACCTTGCACAGTCCGTATGGCCCAATCCTCATCTCACAGCCCCTTCCTTCCACCCGAAGCTGTCGTCCTTCTGTGGCGGAGGGGAGGGTCCCAGGATGTGCCTTGTACATGACTCGAGTTTCATTCCACTGAGTTTTATTATACGAGATCAGTGCGAGGGGCCTGTATCTTGAATTAAAACCTGACTCCTGTTCCTTTCTGCACTCCGAGTGTTTGCTATACAGAAGGCAGGTGTGCTGGCCTTTGGAGCCAGGTGCCCTTGCTCCCCTCATGTAAAGCAGCGCGTAAGGTTGCAGAGTTCGCTGACCCGAGGTGGCTGCGTGCTGACCCCACACTGCACTGGGGAGCCCTCTTGGGTAGCACAAGACGCCCGCCCGCCCGCCCAGGGCCAGGTAGGTCTCCCAGGCGCCATGTCTCTCCATTACCACAGCACGCACTCATCTGGATGTGAGCGGGGCAGCTGAGGTCCTGAAGGGCCTACCAGCACCGGGACCTGGGGCAGTGGGGCTCCCACTCCACCTTCTTCCTCTGTCTTGTTCTAACAAACATCAAAGAATTTAAGGGCTGGCTTCTGCAGAGCAGACTTTGGCCAGACCAGGTCCACAGACCTGTTTCACTTGTGCCACCCAGTAAATGTGTTACTGGGTGCCATACTTTAATTCTAAAAATGAGAGATTTCAAATTACTGACTTTTCCAGCCGGGCACAGTAATTACACCTGTAATCCCAGCACTTCGGGAGGCCAAGGCAGGCAGATCACCTGACGTCAGGAATTTGAGACCAGCCTGGCCAACACTGCAAAACCCCATCTCTCCTAAAAATAACAAAAATTAGCCGGGCGTGGTGCTAGGTGCTGGTAATCCCAGCTACTCTGTTGGCTGAGGCAGAATTGCTTGAACTCAGGAGGTGGAGGTTGCAGTGAGCAGAGATCGCACCGTTGCACTCCAGCCTGGGCAACAAGAGTGAAATTCCGTCTCAAAAAAAAAGATGATTGACTTTTCTTTGAAATCTGATTTGGCTGAGCTCGGTAGCTCAGGAGTGCTAACACCTTCTAAGAGCTGGTAGGCAGGTTGGCTGGGCTCTGGCTCACCCCCCTCTAGCCCGATGATAGCCCTCAGGAACACGTGGGGTTGTGTTCCTCACTGATACGCAGAGTGCCCTGAAAAGTCTTACAGGCAGGGGTTTCTAGGTTGCAAAAAGGAAGTTACGAGCAAGCAGGGGCTTCACAGTAACACCAAGAAAGCACATGCACCCCAGGGGCCCGCCACAGCTCCCACAGATGTGGCTCTGGGCAAGTGCAGGGCAGCTGCTATGGCCCTGCCAGCCCCAGGCTTGCCAAGCAGGTAGGCCTGGAAGAGGTGAGCTTTGTCCTAGAACAGTGGGGGACGGGGCCATCCTCAAAACCACAGCTCTGGCCCCAGTATCCCATCCCCCAGATACCCCAGCCCATGCCTCAGCAAAGACCCTGAATTCCAGCACTGTTTATTGAGCACGCGACATCGGGGAGGGCGGCAGTGGCTTCCACAGTAAGAGTAAGGCTGTGTACTTGCAAGTTTCCAGACATGATCAGTAAGCTACATCGAAAAGCAGAATGGGCGTCGCGGAAGAGCACGATAAAAACATTTTGTATCAAACTTGTGATTACAAAAATATAAAAGTTAAACCCACAGGCAAAGAGGAAAATGGCAATCCTGAGAGCTGCCCTGAAATGTCAACTAAATCCTGTAAGAAGGTGAACCCTGGGGAGGCCAGCACCCCTGGGGCAGTGGGAATGAACAGGAGCCCCCTGGCACCTGTCAGGCAAACCTTCATAGCGCCTCTGGCGGGATGTGTGGGCAGCGCCCCGATGGGCAGAGGCACTGGTGGGGTAGAGGTGGGCACACGGGTGTGGGGCAGAGCCGAGCGCTGCAGCCTGGACAAAGTGGGAAAGGCCCACCCCCACCCCCTTGCATTTCCCAGCTTTGGTGGCTCCCAAGAGGAGGTGGTTCCCACTTGCCCACCCACTGCCGTGGCCGGGCAACAGGGTCGGGCCTGAGCCTGTGGTCACAGCAGACCAGCTACCACTGAGCTCCAGGCGTGTCCCGGAAAGAAAGCTGGTCCCAGAGGCCCCAGGCTGGAGATGGGCCTCTGGGATCAGCTGTTGCCATTCTGAGCTGAGGCCCAGCGCTCAGCAGAAGCCAGGATGGGGACCGAGTGTGGACGTGGTGTTACTGTTCAAAGAGGCAGCAGGCGTGAGTCGCGGGCGGTGGCGGCTGCTAGGACAGCATGGACTGCTGCACGGCCTTCTGCAGGGACTGCCGCGTCACCAGCAGGCGCACCACCTCCTCCGAGCGCTTGGTGAGCCGCTTCCGGGCCTGGTCGTGTGTGACCATGGTCATGTCCCAGCCGTTCACCTGGCCCAGGAAGAGAACACAGGCCTCTCTCAGCTCCCCGCCCTTGGGGCTCTGAAAGCAGATGGCTTGGGGGGTCCAGGTCATTCAAGCAGGCCCCGCAGCCTAACATCCCAGGGCTGGGGGACACCAAGCACTGTGGCTGAGACACAGGAGAGAAAGCCAGCGTTCTCTGGGACATGCCAGCCTGGGTTCCCAGTCACCTGCGGTGAGTGTCTCCCGGCTGGGAGGCCAGGGCAGCTCCCCACACCCACCTGCTTCAGACCTGCCGGCCCAGACCTCCTTTGGGACACCTGTTACCTGCATGATCTTGTCTCCAATCTGCAGCCCAGCGATTTCAGCAGGGCCTCCTTCGGACACCCGTGTGACATAAATGCCCTGGAACAAGGCAGCCCAAGTCACCATGCTGGCTTCTGCTCTGTGGGTAAGGGGTCGGCCCTGCGGTCACCAGACTGGCCCCTTACCCACAGAGTAGAAGGCAGCATGGCACACTCCCAGCCGACCCTCCGTGCCTGCACTCAGCCTCTCCCAGCACACACGATCAGTGAGGACTGTTCCAAGATAGCCAGGGCAGAGCGTGGCTGCCCGGCCACACACTAGTGCTGCTCATGGCCGCCTCCTGCCCCTCCAGGACTCTGTCTGGGCAGCCCGTTCTCACCCCTACCCATCCTTATTCCCACCAGGTCACTTCCGACGCCTTCTTAGAGAAGTTTGAGAGATGACATCTGCTCCTTCCATGCAGACCCAGGAAGCAGAGACCCACCATCTCAGGCCCCGGTGCCCCATGGAGCGGTCCCAGGACCCCACACCCCCTCACCTTGTCTGTCTTGTCTTCCGAGAAGGGATTCTGGGAAGGATCCTGGTCGATTCCACCTCCAATGCTGAAGCCCAGGATTAAGTTCTCACCTTGACGCAGCTTGTGAATTTCAACTCTTTGCTGGCAAAGAAAAAAGCAAGTTGAGGGAGGTGGGTGGGTGGAGAATGAGGCTGCTGTGTGTCCCCGGCAGGCAGCAGCCTCAGTACCATGCCAAGGGGGTGGGGCCCAGGCCCCTGCAGGAATCCAGCCACTCGCCAGCCTGGGAGGCTGAGGAGCTGGCACTCAGAACTTGGCCACATCTACCCACCCATGAAGCCCCCTGTCCGCAGCCTGTTCCCACTTCTGTGAGTCTCAGGCACTAGTCTTGGTCAACATGTGCTCTAAGCCCCTCCTGGCCCAAGGGTCAGGGTGCTATGGCTTCTGTAGGTGGGAGGCCCATCTCCCAGGAGGTGCTCTGAAAAGCAGAGACCAAACTTGCATGGAAAGGAGAGAAAGGGCGTGCCAGCCACAGGGATGAGAGTACAGGCTTCAAGGTGTTGTGGATTCGTGTTGGTGAGACGAGTGTACAGCACGGGACACAGAACTAGGCGTTGAGATGAGGCTGCAGCTATAAGGCTGGGGCCTTATAGCTGTCCTGGAAGGGGAGTAGGGGCATCTCCCTAAGCCCCGGGCCTTGCTCTTGTGCAGTGCAGAGTGTCCTAGGACACTCCCACCATGCTCTGGGGCTGTGGTCCCCAACTGTGCCAGGTTCCTTTCAAAGCCCTTGGCAAGCACCCTCCAGTCAGCAGATGCTGGGAGCCAGACCAGATCACTCCAAAAGTTGTGAGTTTTAACCGGAAGGAGAAAAGAAAAAAGAAAAAGATGACAACCTAGACGACCTAAAGAGCTTTCCCAAAGAGGGGGTTCTTTCTAGCCCGAGTGGGTGAGGAGTAGCCTGACCTTGATCCTGAACCCATAGGAGTTCTCAGGAATTGAGTAGGGCAGGGCATGGTCAGCTCTGCTGCTAGAATGACCACTCAAGTGGTCACTAGAGGAACGGACGTCTCACAAAAGCAGGAAGCAGAGGCCAGCGGACACTGAGCTACCCGAAAATGGAGATCTACAGCCTTGGGGAGCAGTCATGCAGAGGAGGAGTCCAGAGGAGCACCCAGACACCTCGCCTGGCTGAACACACATCACCCAGATGGGGACTCAGGAGGAGGAGGAGGAGGTCGAGCTGGAGTACCAGGAGCTGTGGGGCAGGCGTCCAGAAGGCAGATGGATCTATGGAGCCAGAGTTCAGGGGATGAGTCCTAAGTGGCTTTAACATTCTCAAAATTCTACATGGGAGACAGTGGAGACTGGGGAGTAAGCCTGCCCAACCCCACCCCCAATCCAAGACTCAAGCGAGAGGCCAGGCCACAAACACCATGTCAGGCACGTTCCTGGTATTACTAGAATCGGGGGGGCATGGGCCTACAGTTTTGGGGAAGGCCGTGAGACCAATCACGGCATGTGGGAGGGAGACAGGCAGCATGACCCCTGAGGCCCACTGGGCGTGCATCCTCATGCCCAAAACAGCTCCTCTAGGCCTGCTTCATCCACGTGGTCAGAAGAGTAGAGGCCCTTGGGTTGGGGGACAGGGCTGTCACTGATTTGCTGGGGGAGGTCACACAGAAGGTGGCTTGCTTGGCTCCTCACCTGCCCCTGCCCTACTTATAGCTAAAGAGCAAACCTGGTGCCTTCTCTGTGGGGCAGCTTGGGACCTAGAAAAGCCAGGCTGGGTGGGCGGCGTGCCTCACGCCTGTAATCCCAGCACTTTGGGAGGCCAAGGCGGGTGGATCCCTTGAGGTCAGGAGTTTGAGACCATTCTGGCCAACATGGGGTCATCTCTACTAAAGATACAAAAATTAGCCAGGCATGGTGGTGCGTGCCTGTAGCAGTGAACCAAGATCATGCCACTGTGCTCCAGCTTGGGTGACAGAATGCGACTCCGTGTCAAAAAAAAAAAAAAAAGCTCCAGGCTGGTGCAGGGGCTGCAGGGAAGGTGAAGCTTAGGACAGCTGTCAGCTGGTCTGGCCATGCTTGCTGCAGTCTCAGCCTCACGTGCCACCTTTATCAGTGACTTCTCTGCCTCCACCCACCTGACTGCTGGACACACCCATCTCAGAGTACACAGCAGGTCCCCACGGCTCCAGGGCGAGGACTTTCACTTGACCCGTTGCCCACCGGGCGGACATTTCTTCCCGTTCAACGCTCTCGGGAAGTGGGCAGGAGACCCGAGTCTTTCTTGACGTCGTCTTTTCTGGCTGAGGACCATCAGACCGACTTTTCTCTGGGTCTCCCCACCTCTGCCATAGGGTTGGCCTCCAGGCCCCGTCCCGCCTTGACACAGGCGTCTGAGTCTAATGTCCCAGCCTCCCTCCCTCTCTCTGCCTAATGTAATAGCACCCAGCACCTATAACAAGTCAGAGGGTGGCCAGGGGCCTAGGCTAGCCCCCAGAGGGTCTCCTCAGGTCTCAAGTGCCAGAAAGAAGGCCTGGAGATCCAAGAAAAGTTCGAAGAAGGAAACGCTCATCCCAGCTGTGTGAGCGCCCACCCTGGGCCGGGCAGCAAGGCTGGGCAGACAGGGGAAAGGGGCTGCCAAGGCAGGCTCGGGACAGCCCCACCCCCAGATCGCCCGACGGCGCAGGCTGCAACGGAGGAAGCATTTCCTCATTCCAGAGGCTGCGACTCATGGACGTCGGGATCGGCGCCCGCCCCCCGCAGCTGCCCGGCCGGGGACACGGAGGCCCGGGAAGGGGGCGCTTTCCCAGGCTCCGTGGCCCTCCCCGCCCCGCGCGCGCGGTCTGGGCTCTGTCCAGGGTTTAGGGAGGGTCTAGGGAGGGTCTAGGAAGGCTCTCGGGTCCCGGTCGTCCCTGTTCCGTGGCTGGGGCAGCTGCGTCCCGCTCCGGCAAGGCGAGGACCCGAGCCCTGGCCGCCGGTTCGCAGGAGCCCCGGGTTCGACGTTTTGTCAACCTGCTTGGGGTGTCAGTTTCCCGCTCTGCGAGGTGGGGTCGGGCCAAGCCGAGGAGGAGCCCGCGCAAGCGCACTCACCACCACGGCGGTGACCGGCTGGCCCGGGATGTAGGACATCTCGACACCGCTCTGGTCGCCCAGCCCCGATCGGAGAAGCCGGCAGCAGAGTCCCAGCGGCCGCGCCCTCGCTGCTTAACAAAGGCCGCCCTGTTCCGCCCGCCCCCTCATGAATAGTTAACAAACCCTCCAGCCAATCACCAGCCGGAGCGCCACTCCACTTTCCGAAGTTCCGGCGCGTGCGCAAAAAAAAAAAACGGGCTGGCGGGTGGAGCGTGCCCGGGGCGCCCACGGCGCAGGCGCGGAGGGCGGGGCGGGATCAGGGCGCGTGCGCAGCTCGAGACTTCCCGGCGGCCTTCAGCGCAAGATGGCGCCGCGGGCGTCTCTTCTGCCCGTCTAAGGGAACGCTAAGTACGGTGTCCGGCGCCGTGTTCCAGGTAACTGGGCCAGCGTGGCCAGGGAACGCAGACACGCCACCGCCTCCCCTCAACCTTCTCGGCGTCTCTGGAAGGTCCGAGGCTCAGGACTGGTGCCAGCTCTTGGAAGCTCCGGGGGAGGGGGCGGCGGCGGCGGCGTGAACCCAACTCGCCGAGCTCCGGGCGCCACTCGTAACTTGGTTTTCTCTGCAGCTCCGCGTTGTCCCGCGAGAAAGCGAGAGGCCGAGCCCCGGCGGGTGCGATGGCCGCGGTGGTGGCCAAGCGGGAAGGGCCGCCGTTCATCAGCGAGGCGGCCGTGCGGGGCAACGCCGCCGTCTTGGATTACTGCCGGACCTCGGTGTCAGCGCTCTCGGGGGCCACGGCCGGCATCCTCGGCCTCACCGGCCTCTACGGCTTCATCTTTTACCTGCTGGCCTCCGTCCTGCTCTCCCTGCTCCTCATTCTAAAGGCGGGAAGGAGGTGGAACAAATATTTCAAATCACGAAGACCTCTCTTTACAGGAGGCCTCATCGGAGGCCTGTTCACCTACGTCCTGTTCTGGACGTTCCTCTATGGCATGGTGCACGTCTACTGAAATGGGGGCCCGGGGGACTTTTTTAAACCACCAGATCGGGAGGACTGTGGCGAGAAATTAACACCGTGTAGACTTACCTAGTTTTTAAATGTTTGGATCCGCTGCTTGTTCTGTAACGTTATAAATAATTTATATCTGAAGACGGAGAACCTGTAATATTCTTCAGATTAAATGAAGCGTGAGACACTTTGTAGAGTTCTTTCCTGCCTTAACGCATAGTCTGCCATTGATGCAAAAGCGCCAAGATTTGACTCCTGGAGAGCGGGGACTGGCTATAGCCTTGTGTTAAGTCCTTGCATTTACACATAGGCCATCCAGAAATGGGCCCTAAGGGCCTGCATAAGGAAAGAACTTCTTTTTAACATTCTAAGAAGCAGTAACAGTTAATGTATTAAGAGTTCCCTAGGCTGGGCGTGGTAGCTCACACCTGTAATCCCAGTACTTTGGGAGGCTGAGGCAGGCAGAAAGCTTGAGGTCAGGAGTTTTGAGACCAGCTTGGCCAACATGGCAAAACCCTGTCTACTAAAAACACAAATATTAAATATTACCCGGGTGTGGCAGTGTGCGCCTGCAATCCCACGTACTTGGGAGGCTGAGGCAGGAGGATAACTTGAACCCTGGAGGCGGAGGTTGCAGTGAGCCGAGACCGTGCCACTGCCCTCCAGCCTGGGTGATGGAGACTCCGTCTCAGAAGAAAAAAAAAAAAAAGTTGCCCATATGCCTGGCATTGTGACTTCTACTTTACACCAAGTCTCTCATTTAGTTTTAGCAGTAACCTTACAGGGTAGATGTTATTGTTAAGTCCCTGGTGAGGAACCTGAGGCTCAGCGAGGTTAAATAACTTTTCCCAGAGGAGGTACCGGTAGGAAGAGACAGCCAGGATTCAAATGCAATTCTCTTAATTTGCTCTTGCTATGTTGGCTGGGTGTACCTTTCACAGGCCAGTGTTCCCTCCCACTAACCATTACTTCAGGTATGGATGGTGTCATTTCAGTTCCATTTCATTTAGTGACAGTCTTTTCCATAAGAAAAAATAAAATCAAGCTGTTTCTGTTTTTAGAATATGTCTAGGGAAGATGAAACATTGTTTGGACATTTGGGCCGGTCACAGTCCATCACGCCTGTAATCCCTAGCAGTTTGGGAGACTGAGGCAGGCGGATCACCTGAGTTCAGGACTTCGAGACCAGCCTGGTCAACATGGTGAAACCCCATCTCTCCTAAAAATACAAAAAGTTAGCTGGGCATGGTGGCACGTGCCTGTACTCCCAGCTACTCAGGAAGCTAAGGCAGGAGAATCGCTTGAACGCAGGAGGTAGAGGTTGCAGTGAGCCAAGATTGTACCACTGCCCTCCAGCCTGGGTGACAGAGCAAGACTCCCGTCTTAAAAAAAAAAAAAAAAAAAAAAAAAAAAACTAACAACAAAAAAAAACTTGTTTGGGCATTTAAGCTGAACTTTGGGGTGGTTTAGGGTGTAAACACTTATATGTGTTAATCCATGATTCTTTCTTGTCAGGAGGGTTATCTTAGAATAAAGCGCATGTGTTTCGTTGAGAAATAATGCATTAGAATTACAGTAATTGCCTGACTGCACGCTGTAATCCCAGCACATCAAGAGGCGAAGGCTTGAGCCCAGTGCCTGGGCAACATAGACGTCCATCTCTATGAAAAACTTTTTTTTTTTTAATTAGCCAGGTGTGGTGGCCCATGCCTGTAGTCCCAGCTACTCAGGAGGCGGAGGTGAGAGGGTCAGGATCACCTGGGCCCGGGAGGTGGAGGCTGCAGTGAGCCACGACTGTGCCACTACACTTCAACCTGGGCAACAGCAGGACCCTGTCTTAAAAGAAATGACAGCAGTGAACATGATGTTGCTCATTGGATTTATCATTAACTGGGGAGACCAGCATTACCTAATATCACGAACACTTAAATTATGGTAAGTGCTATGAAGAAGACTTAGCACACCTAGCCCAACTTGGGGGATGGAGGTCAAGGAAGGCTTCTTTGAGGAAGTAACATTACATCTGAGACCCAAAAGGTGGGTAACAGCCAAGTGTGGGAAGGCGTTACCTTCAGGAAAGCACATGTTTGCAAGCCATTGGGCAGGAAGGAACAAGACTGTTTAGAGAGAAGAGGCCACAGGGTAGACCCAGACCAGATCATGGAGGGCAGTCCTGGGGATGGGGACATGAGCCTGTAGTCCCAGCTACTCAGGAGGCTGGGATGGGAGGATCAAGATCACTTGAGCCTAGGAGATTGAGGCTGCAGTGACCTCCCATTTGCTCTGGCCTTGATCTCAGAGCAAACGGGGGAAGCCTTTGGAAGTTTCTAGTCTAAAGTGATGTAATCACATTTGGACCTTTCCTTTTTTTTTTGAGACGGAGTTTCACTCTTGTTACCCAGGCTGGAGTGCAATGGTGCGATCTCGGCTCACCCCAACCTCTGCCTCCTGGGTTCAGGCAATTCTCCTGCCTCAGCCTCCTGAGTAGCTGGGATTACAGGCACGTGCCACCATGCCCAGCTAACTTTTTGTATTTTTAGGAGAGACGGGGTTTCACCATGTTGACCAGGATGGTCTCAATCTCTTGACCTCGTGATCCACCTGCCTCAGCCTCCCAAAGTGCTGGGATTACAGGCGCGAGCCACTGCGCCCGGCCCCCAGACTTTTTAAAAAAGAATCTGTTTTAGATTAAAAGGGGATCTGAGAGCTTGAATCCAAGTACCCTTTTCACAGACCGTAGGTAGCCCATGGCCAGTCACGGAAGTGGGTCTGGGACCCAGACTTGTTAAATTCCGTGTCGGCTTCAGGGCCACATGCACATGACGCCAAGGAGAAGCTGAGGCCATAGTTTTGCCTTCCTACCCCAGTGAGCCCTTCTCTGCCCACCACTGAAGGTCTGCACACCTCAGTCCTTTCAGCCGCCTCCCAGTGGGAAGGCAAGGTTCATTCCTGCTGTAAGGGAAAAGCAGAGGGAGTCCTCCCTGGTGGGAGAGGAGGAAAAGGAAGAGGGATGAGTGACCTGATGTACTTAACCATGTCCCTATTATTGGGCAGTAAGTCTGAAATGTTCACTACTATGAAAACACAGCAATGGATGTCTGCGTTTATATTGTTTTGAGAGATTTGATAAGTTCCTATGACAGGATAAAGCTTGATTCCACATGATTTCCAGAGTTGATTACACTCACTGGATGCAAAGTACCTGCTTGATCAGTGCCTTCCTAGTCTATAATTTAATATTTGTTCATTAAAGTGTTTCCACAATTTGAATTTCTTTGCAAGATAACGAGGAACATAATACATTATGCATTACTTGCTAACCGTTTCTTGTGTCTGCCTCTTTTGCTCTTCCCTTCTTACATTTTCCTTTAAAATATGGGGTAAACATGAAGACATGAAGGGAAGAAAATCGGAACACATTTGAAATTGACACCATTTATTGTTTTAGGGCCAAAGAAGAGTGTCAGAGAATACATATATTGAGCGGGTCCCAGAAAGCATCTGCCATCTTCCCCAATTTAATTCTGCATCCCGGCGTAATGGAAGGCAGACGTCGGGCAGGAAGGCGGTGTCTTCAGGAGAGCAAGTTCTTAGATCCACTCCGAGCACAGTGGCAGGGCTTGGGGAGGGGAGTCGGTGGAGCCAAATGGAGCCCTTTTCCAGACAGGCGAGATGCCATTCCGAGTGAGGTCATCTAGGAACTCTGCAGGGCTCAGGTTCTCAGCTGAGGTGCTCAAGGGCACGGGAACGATGTTCCCCACTTATAGCCGGTTCCCCAGTGCAGGAAGCCAGCCACGGAGAATGGAAGAACTGAAGTGGGCGAGGGAGGGGGGTGCAGAAAGACAGCCATGATGGGTCAGTCCTGGTGGCCCCAGCATCGGACATGGAGGTTACTTTGCTCTTTCATGGCTGGTCCCTGTGGTGTGACATCGATAGCACCTGGTGTACAAATTTCCTGTTGGGCCGCTCACAGCATTCTCAAAGGCATGGGTAACTCAGAGCTAGACAGCTGGGTTTAGGATAGGCCTGACCATAAGCACAGGCATTTCACGTGCTCCTGGAATACCATAACAGAGAGCAGCTCTTGAGAGGCTGGCACACTCATCTTCCCGATGAGGCTACCAGTGCCCAAGCTGGAAAGGAGCTCAAGTTCCTGCTTCACTTCTCCCCATTTAAAAGCCAGTTTCCATCAGATGAATGAGCCTCCCACTCTTGCACCAAGATTATGCAGAAAAAAGATGGGAGCTGGGGGCTGTGCAAAAAACAAGGAAACTGGAAGAGTGTGGCAGTCCAGAAGCTGTCCCGGGATCCTTGGCTCTTCTGAGCATGGGGCCCCAGTGGACAGTGAAAAAAACACTGGAAGGCTGGGCTGGCTGGAGGAAACAGGCTGAGTCAGTCCTCTAAGGAAGTGAAGTCTAAAGGGGCAACCCTGACAGTTAGGGACCGTCAACGTGAATAAACAAAAGCCTCACCAAGCCTGCCTCCTGTCTGTGGCCCTCAGGTTCTCAGTTGCTCCTACCCATGTCAGAGCACCTCTTCACACCTGTGTGTCCCTTACCTGGAATGCTTTCCCCGTCACCTAGTTAGTCTGCTCTATACCCTTTCAGATTTCAACTCACAGGTCACCTCCTTGGGAACACCTTCTCTGGCTACTCATTGAACTCTGCAACACCCCATTCCCTGTGGGATGACAGGCATGATCACTGGATTAAGGGTCCACTCCCCGTTAGCCTGGAAACACTCGGGGGCAGGAATCGTGTCTGTGATGCTCAGCCCTGTCTCAGCAGCGTCCGGTCCAGCACCTGACACGTCCCAGGCGCTCCTTAAGTACTTCCTGGCTGAAGGAATTACTAACTGTAGGAAGACATTTTCGCTGCAATATGAAACAAATAGTACAACTTTCCTCGGGTTCTGTGGCTTCTGCCAGCCATTTCAAAATCTGGTTACAAACCAGCAGCCATGACCCCTGCCTTTTTTGCTTCCTCCCAAACCTAAAAGTAACCAAGTTATAAAATCCAAGGCTTTGCTCTTCAGTGAGGAAGTCACACACCTAAGTGGATCACCTGGATCTTCATTTTCTTTTTTGACATGGAGTCTCTGTTCCCAGGCTGGAGTGCAGTGGTACAATCTCGGCTCACTGCAACCTCTGCCTCCCAGGTTCAAGTGATTCTCTTGCCTCAGCCTCCCGAG